CTATGAGACGTCGGACTTGGGAGGCGTCGGACCTATGAGGCGGAATAAATACATTTTATGCCTCATATTAAGTCCGACACCTCATTAGTCAGAAATTTCGGACTGATGAGGCGTCGGGCCTATGAGGCGTCAGACTTATAACGGCCCCAAGTCATGTAAGGTTTGCCTTCACCGACATATATACTCATTTGTGTATCACCTCCCGAGTGAAAGTTGGAAAAACCGTTTAATATAAGTTTTTCCGGCTATTTAAAACATTTTTCGTTCGAATTCACCGATTCTTATATTCAATTTCGCCCAGCATGCAACATCGATTTCGTGCACTTTTAATGTTTAATGTCGTCTTTAATGTCAGACAACTTCAGATGTAGTCCAAACAAATTCAAACAATGAGCACACGTTTTCGACCCGGTGTATTCGATTTCGTGTCGTCTACGCCGAATCGTGTTATTCAGAAATCGAATTCGTCTAATTGTTCAATTTATATCAGACGATTTTGATCTCTGAATGCTTTCATTCGGCAACAGCTAATAGACGGATTTGATAATGACGAGTGTTCTCGACCTGGTGACTAAAAAGGGTGACAAAACTTTGAAATTAAATGGCAAACGCGGGGTTGACTTTAGAAATTGTGACTTTATTTTGATCAGAAATGTGGATTAAGCTGTTGATTGGTCAATTTGTCTGCCATTTGTAATACAACAAGGGGTTTAAATGCCGTAACTTGGAAAGCACACCTGAATGATTCTTGTATATACTGGGCTTTAACATCCTAGATTTTGAATGTGCTACAGGCAAAATTCATTCAAAAATTGGTCCTGCCATTCGGGATGCGTTTTTTTTACTCACCCTGTACATAATTATAACAGCTCACAGGGTAGACGGACGTTTAGAAAAAACAAACAAACACAACAAACAAGTAAGGAAAAGGACAAACAAACGTGCTTTACAAAAAGTGCATGAATAACAAAGGACGCGTTATAAACAACAGAGGAGCTGTGGAAGGGATGACAAAATAAATACAATCAAAGCAAGAGAAACTAGAAATGTGTTTGTGGACAAACACAAGCTGTTTCGGATATTTGAAATACTCTGTGCACGTGATGAACACGTGATGAAGTCACTTCGAATGTCATCTGCCAAGTGAAAAGTCAATCAGACATACAGTGCCAAAGTACATGGTTTGAAGAAAAACGTGTACAACACCTATGGGGAAAATGCATCTTTAATGTGAAGTAACCTTACACCTGATGATGTCACGATCACGAATTTTTTCTAGGACCATCTGTGGGTGGTAGTCTAAGTGTGTACAAAGTCTAATGTCGATCGGATTTACCAAAGTAGAATGTTTTAAAACGTGTACAAACCCTACGGGGAAAAATGCATCTTTAATGTGACGTAAACCAACACCTGATGACGTCACGATCACAAATTTGTTCTAGGACCATCTGTGGGTGATGGTCTAAGTGTGTGCCAAGTGTAAAGTCCATCAAATTTATGAAAGTGCCAAAGTGGAGTGTTTTATGAAAACGTGTACAAACCCTATGGGGAAAATGCATCTTTAATGTGACGTAACCTGACACCTGAGGATGTCACGGTCACGAATTTCTTCTAGGGCCATCTGTGGGTGATAATCTAAGTATGTATCAAGTTTGAGGTCGATCGGATTTACCAAGAGGCCAACGTGGAGTGTTTTAAAACGTGTACAAAACATATGGGGGAAAATGCATCTATAATGTGACGTAACCCGACACCTGATGACGTCACGGTCACGAATTTCTTCTACAACCATCTGTGGGTGGTGGTCTAAGTATGTATCAAGTCTGAGGTCGATCGGATTGACAAAGAGGCCAAAGTGGAGTCTTTTAAAACGTGTACAAAACATATGGGGAAAAATGCATCTATAATGTGACGTAACCCGACACCTGATGACGTCACGGTCACAAATTTCCTCTAGGACCATCTGTGGGTGGTGGTCTAAGTATGTACCAAGTCTAAAATCGATCGGATTTAAAAAAGTGGCAAAGTGGACTGGCTGAAGAAACGTGTGTTAAACCTATGGAGAAAAAGTCTGAAAAAAAAAAAGAAAAAAAAAGAAACTAGAAATGTGTTTGTGGACAAACACAAGCTGTTTCGGATATTTGAAATACTCTGTGCACGTGATGAACACTTGATGAAGTCACTTCGAATGTCATCTGCCAAGTGAAAAGTCAATCAGACATATAGTGCCAAAGTATGATTTGAAGAAAAACGTGTACAAACCTTAACCCTATGGGGAAAAATGCATCTTTAATGTGAAGTAACCTTACACCTGATGATGTCACGATCACGAATTTCTTCTAGGACCATCTGTAGGTGGTAGTCTAAGTGTGTACCAAGTCTAACGTCGATCAGATTTACGAAAGTGCCAAAGTAGAATGTTTTAAAACGTGTACAAACCCTATGGGGAAAATGTATCTTTAATGTGACGTAATCCAACACCTGATGATGTCACGATCACAAATTTCTTCTAGGACCATCTGTGGGTGGTAATCTAAGTGTGTACCAAGTCTGACGTCGATCGGATTTACAGAAGTGCCCAAAGTGGAGTGTTTTATAACGTGTACAAACCCTATGGATAAAAATGCGTCTTTAATGTGACGTAACCCAACACCAGATGACGTCACGATCATGAATTTCTTCTAGGACCATCTGTGGGTGGTGGTCTAAGTACGTATCAAGTCTGAGGTCGATCGGATTTACGAAGAGGCCAAAGTGGAGTGTTTTAAAACGTGTACAAAACATATGGGGAAAAATGCATCTTTAATGTGACGTAACCCGACACCTGATGACGTCACGGTCACGAATTTCTTCTAGGACCATCTGTGGGTGGTGGTCTGAGTATGTATCAAGTCTGAAATCAATCGGATTTGAAAAAGTGGCAAAGTGGACTGGTGGAAGAAACGTGTGTTAAACCTATGGAGAAAAAGTCTGAAAAAGGAGAAAAAAAAAAAAAAAAAAAAAAAAAAAAAAAAAAAAAAAATCCTAACGAAAACAATAGCTGTTTCGGTGAGTCACCGAAACAGCTAAAAAAAAAATCTTAACGAAAACAAGAGCTGTTTCGGTGTGTCACCGAAACAGCTAATAATTTTGTAATACAATACAGACAGAACAAACTGAAAGAAAAAAGGGAGGTAGGCCTTTACTGGGTGAGCAGATGCGTCGTATAATTATTTTTAAATCCGCCCACAGAGGATTGCGATTTAAAGCCGGTCAAGTCCATTCGAGGTCCATATAACTTAGCTTATCAAGTGCGAGTGAGTGACAGGTTTTTGTGAGATCTGCAGTCTGGTGTGCATTGGTGAATATTATTAACAGATAGTCAGATAAAAGTACGCTGAGAATGTGCAAGGAAAAAGATTATTAGTGTGTATATAAAATACATAAGGGTAGTTGTACAACGTGAATAGAGTGATGAACAGGCGGACAAGGGGTTTCGCTGGAACCCCCCCCCCCCCCTCTTGATCCGCGCCTGGCATACTCGAATTGCTCTATTCTGGAGATTATTTATATATTTTGTGCCCAAAACAATGTTAAAGAAGTTCAGACTGGGGGATCAGTGTGTTATACGACGTGAATAGCCAATGCTATTTAGTTCTGAAAAGAACTTGTCCTGCAACTTTCGCTTAGAAATTTTTGATTGAACTTAAATATAAAATAGCTTCATTTAGACTAGGATTCACCTGCTGAAGATCACTGTCATAGGAGAGAAATCGCAGTGTTTTTTTTTTTTTTGCATTTTATTTATTTATTTTGTATCATCGGACAATAGGTTATCAGCAAACCACTGAAGAGCGACGCCTCTTATATAATGCACAAGCTCTGATACCGAGAATGGAATGTCAATCGTATCAAAATTAAGCCTTCGATCGGTCAATAAAATACACAAAAAGAAGATGACACATTTAGTACTTGCAAATGAACTTAGAAAGTCGCTTATAGATAAGCTTTTCCAGGATTTTTGAGAAGCATGGAAGAGAAGAGATAGAATTTTATATGGAAGAGCTGCAGAATGCTCATTTCAAAAACAGACATAGGATATATTGAGACCTAAGGAACTTTCTAGCATATTTTGAGTTTATCTTTTTTTCGAGAGTGTGCGGGGGACATTTTGCCAACCCCACCCATACCATAATGACACCCCTGCAGACGCCCATGTTGTTACATTTTACTTCAATCGTCTTCTGCTGTTTTGTTGTTCTCGCCCCCCCTTTAATTTTTTGTTTGTTTTGCTTTTAATTTCAGAGGGGAAAAGTGCCCCTGTGAGATTTGAGAGTTATCTTATTGAGCATAGAGGGCGCTGTAAAATTAACAAAACACCCGCGTGACATGTTGTTATAAGTGCATAAAATTATCAGAAATTTGACTTCAAAACCCCTTCTTCTGTTTTCTTGTTCCCCCTCCCCCTTTATAAAATTATTTATTTATTTGTTTGGCTTTCAATTCCAGGTGAGGAAAAGCTAATTCAAGTGAGTCGTTAGCATTTATAAGTGCCCCCCCCCCCACACACAATTTCTTTTGAAAATGGAGACCGTTTGGCTTTAAAAATGGTGGAATTGTGTAAATATACCCAAGGATTAACTTTCTGGTTTTTTGGGCTTCCATCTGAGGGCAGGCTTGATAAAATTACGGATGAAAAATGGGTCCTATTTGCCTGTGAAAGCGGAAGGATGCCACTTGTGTAATATATAGCTTCATGCAGGCTTGGGAACTATCACTTTTCGGGAGGTGATTTTGTTTGGGTGTGAAAATGTAAAAATATAACTGGCTAATCTACCTAAAATTGAAAAGAAATGAAAAGATGAAAGACAAGACAATAATTTAATATTTGTTTGAGAAACCCCAGTGATGTTGGCTTGCATGTTATTTGGCCCTGAACTTTGTCGATTTTACACTGTTTTCAATTGGGCTCGAATTAGTACAGTGGACCCTTATCTTATCTTTTTGAGCGTAGAGGGCGCTGTAAAATCAACAACACCCGCGCGACATGTCATGGCATGATTTCAACGAAGGAGAGAAAAGTTTAGTTCAAAAAGTGTCTGTTTGCAAAAAGTGAAGAGTAAAACCAGCTTGCGTTTCAACAGACAGTAAGGTAAGTATTTGTTAGAGTATTAGGTACACGTGATTGTTGTTTTTGTTGAGCGGTAATCCCTTCGATTCTAATTAAATCGTGCGCCCAATTTCCGGACATGTTACTTTATGTAGGGACGTACGGGACGTGCGGCCGTACTAGTAGTAGTAATGTAGGATGGAACGCCGTATTATCGCGGTACTTACCGTAATTTTCGGAATATAAGCCGCGGCTTATACGTTGAATTTGCCCATGAAATTTTTACTGCGGCTTATACACAGGGCGGCTTATACGCCGAGCCGTGAAGAATAAAACTGATTTTCAAATGTATATTTAATGTACTGGTATAAGGAAAGATCTGTTGCTAAAATGAATCATCAATAAAGAAAGTCATAAACAAACCGAAAGCACGTCCAACGAAACGGTACCGAGCGGTAAAAAGTACGGCTAGCGAAAGCTGTCTCTTTGACGTCGACATCGACAACCGTACATGATCCTAGTGCAGTGTTGCATGCATGCTGCATGCCTTTCCCATGGACCACACCATTTGTGGTAATAAAGGGGTGTACTTTCTTGGGAACAATAATTACCAATATTTCTGCTGTTTAAAAACAGAAACAAGATAACTAATACTTTTTATGGAGTTCCAAATATTTCTCTATTCAATAATCAGTTGTTCAATGTCACAATATAATTTTTTTTCTTGAAATGTATTCAAGAAACGATGTAAAACTCAAAGCAGGGGCTACAAATCACCCCTTACGAAATGAATGGATTCGTCCATAAAATTTTCAGCATCGTGTTGACTATTTTCGAAGAGAGTTACGATCGCAACTTGAATTTTGACGTTAGTAATCACAACAATTTGATAAGTTTTGTTGTAAAAACGGACCTGTTTATTCTTAGGACAAAACAAATCAGCATCTGTTGCCACAAAGCAGCATTTGTAGCCTCCAGTCAGACGACACACGGTGGGTTACATATCTCAAGTGCTGGGGGAAAATGTTATCATTTGCCGGCGCTAGCTGCTGGGCCATGCGCTAACGTTTTAGGCCGGGGACCGGACGGGGCAGCCGGCAGTAATTCCCGGTGTTTATTTCTCATCATCAATTTCCATATTTGTTTGTGTTATTGTAAGAGTATCAACTGTGAATGATTTGATATAACTTTTGTGGCCCTTTTTATAGCTTTCGTAGTGTAAATGGAACTGGTTCAGAGCATTTTGACTAGTGTTTGGAGGCCCTACAAAATTGAAACCGCTGCGGTCGGTGCGGCTTATACGCCGGTGCGGCTTATACGCCGACTTCAAATCTTAATTTGCAGATTTTTGCGTACTGCGGCTTATACGCCGCGCGGCTTATATTCCGAAAATTACGGTATCACGTTTCTCGTTCGGAATAGAGATTGCCCACTAACCTTCCAGAATTGTCCTGTCTTATGTGTAGTATAACTCTTCCTTTTTAAATTAATATAAAAAAATCTGACGGGGGGTGAGGTTTATTCCGTGTACGATGCCTGTGAAAATAGACATGCGCGGCGTGTGCGAACGGAGGTGGACTCCCTATTATCGCGGTATGCGGGAAGTGGGTTTTATAATGATCCCAACTTTTTTGTTCATAGTTTATGTTTGACCAAAACACCCCCTGAATAAAGTCTGATATTTTCCCTGTAACGTTCAAGTTGATTAAAGACAAAATGTCTGCAGGATGATTTCTTAAGACCCTGCCCTTCCCCCGAAAGGAGAACACAAATCCCTGAGGCAAGTCTACTGATCGGCGATTGAGGGCGCCATTCACTTTACACGGTGTGCCGTTTTATTTTCGCTACGCGCGGTGCTTATTTTGATCCCGTAAAAGTTGTTACAATTTCGCGCTGCAAATATCGTCGTTCGACCTCATTTTACATTTGCAGCTGAAGAATGGGAACCAGACAATGGAACTTGCATGGACAGAGCGCAATTAAAGATTTATGTTAAAATATAAACGGTACCTTTTTAGCAGACACGGTGAGGGAAAATTTTGCAAGTTTTGGAAAACGTTAATATTTATTAAAATCGTTAAAAGTCCCGAAAGACACAATATTTTTTAATCGTCCTTTTTATACAACTCGGTAGAAAATCCTTGATGACTGGTGAACTGGATAAAAATCGCCACTTGAAGGAGTTTTGACACTGTAAAAAGAGAAATTTCCCATGCCGCGATAATAGGGATGCCGCGATAATAGGGAGTCCGAGTATACATGTAGTACGGGACTACGTATTCAGTATATACATGTAGTCGTGTTCCCTAACGTGGCGCACTTCGAAGCTTACCCAACTTTCCTCGTGTAGTGTTGCCAAATCTCTTTGTTGATAAACTTCAAATTCATGCAGTGAAATACTGGTACTTTTACCCTTTTAATGCTTGCTATTTAACCTCTGTGAACAATTTTGGTTTCATAAAATTAATCCGAAATGCAAAAATGGTCGTGTCCGGAAATTGGGCACAAATTGGCGGAGTGTTCCCTAATGTGGCGCACTTGAATAAATCTCGGAAAATTCCAAATTAACATTTAAGAATGTCTGTAAACTTGATAAATTCTGATAAATAATTATTATCTCTACTTACATACCCAGCCAGATGTTTGTCAGAAAATTATTTTCTTATTTTTCGGAGCATTTTCAAAGGGTTCACTTTGCACTTGAAAATAAAATCGGGAAATCACGCCAAAATTATGTTTTCTTTTAACTTTGTAACGGGTAAATAAACTCGCGATTTATGAACGGGAGTGTTGAGAACTTGATGAAATTTCACTTTCTGTGAAATTTCATTTAAAAGTTTTGCTCTAGCTAGGTGCTACAGGCGAAAAATCAAAGTGCGCCACGTTAGGGGCCGCGCCACGTTAGGGTACATCAACAATATCGGGTGTTACTCCTAGAACTATAGGCAGCTTACCCTGCAAAACTGTTTGCCTCTACAAAACACCAACTAAGTACAAAAACGTCCATCACAACCAAGCTACATGTATTTCCCACAGAACCGCTACGTGGAGCCTCATAGACATAGTTCTAGGAGGAGTAATCGGGTGTCGGACGCTTCGCCCCATTGAACAACATGTAGTTTCATGTTACTGAGGGAAAGAAGGTCTTCATATATCATCTCAATGAACTTCAGTCATTGCAAAAATGACGATAAGACAAACTATTGTTCAAATGCTTAAGGCCAAATTAAACTTGTCTTGCCCTAGGTTTTTGAAAAAAAGGAGGAAGAGGGGCTTCTTATTTCTTTCAAGATGGCTGCCATTTTTTAGTTTCCTGCAACAGTTGGTGTTTCCACTGTTCATCACAGACACTTTTAAAGTGAAAGACAAGTTGGACAAGAGAACTGAACATATTTGTCATTTAGAGTTGTTTTGGTATTGGTATTTATTTCTGATGAATTTGTGGTATTGGTATTTATTTTCTGATGAATTTGTGGACTTTTTCGGTGCTTTTTACTGCATTTTTCAAAATTAAAAATAAAAAAAATCCAGGTGGCCTCCAAAAAGGAAGCAGGCGGGGACGAGAAACATGTTTTATTTTACTTCGCCTAACAACATGGCCTTTGTTCAAGTAGTTTGCATTTTAAAATTCGGTAACCCTTTCTTTTTTAGGACCCCGTTCCTATATAACTCAAGGTTAAAAACTCACCAAAACAGCTGACTAAATGACACTCAAAAGTAACATTCTGATGTTTCTTGACACATTTGAACAGTTGGCAAGGACACCTTCTTGAATATCAGCAGGTTAAATTTTGTAGAAAGAGGGCATGGCTTTGATTTGTGAAGGGTTAAAGATGATGATGACAAACAGCAAATATATTTAAAAAGCAAGATGGCGAACTGTAAAAAAAGGAAGGAAAGTCATATTTTCTTTGAAAGAGCTTTCAAAATGCCGACAAACATGAGGTTATCTGAAGAAAAGAGACTGCTTTAGGCTGCAAAATTCACTTTGGTACTGGACAGTCATCTGCAAAAGTCAGTTTTGAACAGAACTCGTGAAAATACAGGTATCCTAAAGTTAAAGATTACCTAAAATTCAATACATGTATTTTATAGATAACACCAACTGAAAGAACTATGCAATAGCTACAAGTAATCACACAGGTCCCTATCCGAGTCCTGTACGGACAAAATAAGGAGCCCGCCGTGTACTACATGTAATCGTTTATCTGTGCACTAGACTGCAGTTCTATACAATTAGACGGTTCTTGTTTTGCCTTATCAATTGACGGCTGTTTCATTTTACAGCCAAATAGACAATGTTTCTGAAAAAATTCCAGCCTCTCACTGCACCGTGCCACGAGATTAGGCTCCCATAATTTTGCACATATAGGACTCGGAGTACCAGGGAGGCAGTGACCCATGTGATAAGATTAAAAGTTGTACACATTTGGATCGAGCTCTATTTAATATTTTGATTGAAATTGACTTCCAAATTGTCTTTCTTCTTTACTGTACTTCCATGGGTGTGCAAGTGTGCTTTTTAGAATGTAGGTTTACCTTTTTGGGGGGGGGGGGGGTGGGGTGGCTGAACTTTATTTGCAGAAGATCAGGGTGATAGTGCAAGTTGCATTTATAAGGTCTTTAGAATTTGTGTTATGTTATTGGGTTTGGGCCAAGGAAATGGATGTACTACCAGGGGTACATGTAGTCGAGTTGCCTAGAAGCTAATGTCCAAGATTCATGCTACAGTACCGGTAACCCAGCTATAGTATTAGAAGTATCCCTAGATGCATAGCCTTTTCAGTTTTTGATGCATAATTTTACTTTTTTTCCAGTTCAGTGATGATTTGTATTGGTGCTGTAGATTTTTTTATCTAGAGCTTGTATTATATTCAGACTTTGCTTTGCAAAATCCAATGCACAAAAGTATAATAAATTTGCGCTATTTTCCCCAATGATCCCAATATCTACATTGTACAAATTTTTTTTTTTTTTTATAACAAACATTACTCAATAAAGGAAAAAGAAAAAAATGGTTGGGTGCTGTACACCAATTCTACAGCTTTTATTCAAAATGGCTCATGAATCCATAATTCAGAAGGTACATACATAGTTCCTTACAAGCAATTCACAATACAATATGCCACAGGGCATTCATTGGAAGAGACCATGTTTCAACTTATGTTGACGTTTCCTGTGCGTATTGTTTAAACACAATACTACTCTTTTTAACGTTGTACAATGTACACGAGTTTAGGTTTTTCACACACAGAGTTTTAACTTAGATTGCATACTAGTACGTTTGTAATTTTAAAATGACCAAATGTTTGTGCAATGGAAAATATGCAGATTGGCACATGTCAAATGTAGGCTTTTTTTCACAATGTACTGCTCAGCTTATTAATTCTCATTGACACTTTATTGCTCCAACTATCACCCCAACTATAACTGGGACATTCCAACTTATTGTTTGGGACGTCTCAATTATTCAAGGTGAGTCATTGAAAGTGATCTGGATTAACCTTAACCCCCTAGCATATTTTACTAGGAATTGTACCCATCCTCGGAAATTGGGAAATTGTACACACACACATTCTGACTTTGATTTTGGAAGTGTGCCAAACCCAGTAAAAACGATCATCAGTTCAGGGGTACTGTACCCATCCTAACAGATTCCAACAAAACCTGCTAAATTGGGCTTTAATGGGTTGAGTTTGGTTAGGTCACTCCTGTCTGACACCACATGCAACCACTGCAGATGTTCAGAAAAATGTTTAATTGTGGAAGTTTAATAAGGTAAGTTGTTGCGGTAGCACCATGTGGCAAAATGAGGTTTGAGCATTTGCATAGGGACACACAAAGAGAGAACTGTACGAATGTACCTACATGTATGTTATGAATGACTCAATGCAGACTGATCTAGAAACCATGTATGCATGTACCAGAATGAACACTCGCTGCATACATGTACATTGTACAGTACTGTTGTAACCTCATAAGTTGTGGCTCAGCCATTAGTCTTAGCTGAAGAGGATGTTGTACATACATGTAAACCAGCTGAGTGATAACCCGCTGCCGCGAGAGCATGTTATCCCTACAAACCACTGTCACCCATAAACCACCACAAACAATGCCTTTGGAATCATGTACAGTAGCAGTTGTGAAATACCCGCTAACCTGTTTGCCAAATTTATGCAGCATGCATTCAAAACCTTTCACAATAATTCCAAGCAAAACTCTTAACATTTTTTTCAATTGGAATACAAGATGCAGCTAGAATTTTGGGCAACTTTACTGGGCAGCTCTTTTGTGGTATTTAGCTTCAATTCAATTCAATTCAATATTTATTTCCAAATCATACAAACACTATATAGTAATAATTACATGAAGAAAACAAACAGATGGAGACATATACACAAAAAGCCAAAGTTTGTAAGGGGAATGTCTTTGAATTAAATGAACTATACAGGGCGAGTCAAAAAAAGCAACCCCCAAATGTCAGGACCACCGAGTTTGTTGTGATAACGCCCCCTCACGGCGGTGGGTTATTGCGGTGGCAGATTATCGGTCAGATAGCCTGTTAGAAGTCAGGTAGATATATGGACAATTGTTTCTTGGACACTCCCACTTGTCTTGACTTGTACAATCTCCTTTTACCTACTGAGTGGTTCTTTAACCCTAACAGAACTCAACCCATCAAACCCCAATGGCATGTTTTGTTGGAATCTGTCAGGATGGGTACAGTAACCGTAAACTGACAGTCTTTTACATTGGGTTGCCAGGATGGGTACGGTTCCTAGTAAATTATGGTAGGGAGTTAGGGTTAATTTGGAACAACTGTGTGGGTTCTATCACTTGAAACAATTGCGTGGGTTGTATCAGTTGAAACAACTGAGTGGGATCTCTCAGTTTAAACAATACTTCGATATTAGACTTTACTGTGAAATTGTGCACACTTCGTAGATGATAGAGAAGGAGGTATCCCGAATCACAGTGGAATTGCTGATGGCAACAGCTCTCCATTGGGCACACAAACTGGTAGCCGTGAACTGTTGTCATATGAAAGATCAGTTCGGACCTGGTGCTTAGAATGTGTGGGCAGTCCCTGCATGTTAGTGAAATGCATGGTTCAGGGAATTCTGGTAGCAGTGGAATGGCAACAGTTTTGTCTTTCCCGTCGCACTGCCTGTCGATGAAAAAACAGTCGTGGATCGCAAACATGTGCTCCAGAAGCTGCTCTTGAGACGTGAAGGGTAAGTCACAATAAGAACACTTGCATGAAGTCTGGTGCTCGAAAACAGGAATGGCACATTTAGGGGCTGTACCGTTTCCCTTTTCTGTGTTTTCACTTGCTTTGGTTTCCCCAGAGCTGGATGGACTTTCCTGTTGTGTGGCATTTCTTGTACTTTTTATTCCATCATGTTTTTGATCCTCCTTGATTAATTGCCCCTCAAGGTTTGTATTATTTTCCAGTGTTTCATCACAGGTTTCTCTTGGCAAATCATTGCTGTCTGCTCCTCCGTTTGATGGTTGATCAGATGCCCTCTCTTCTGGCACTGACTCCTTGTCCGTTTGGTATTTCTTTAATTTCTTGCTTGAACCAGATTTTCTTCTTTTCGTTGATCTAGATCTTTTCCTCTTTGGACTGCAGTGGTCTTGGTTTGTGTTTCTTTTCTGAGCTCCACCATCCACTGATGTGTAGTTGTCCTCTTCCATTTCCTTGGGTGTAGATATACACTTATCTGTTGTGATTCGATTTTCTCCTTGCGATTCTGAGGTCTTGTTTCTTGTATCCTCACTTCCTGTAGAAGACACTGGTGGAAGTTCGAAGTTGCAGGCATTGTCAGGTGCTTTGTATTTGTGGATGTCATCGTGGCATTTCCTTATATGCCGTTTGAGACCGCTCAGCGTTGCAGTTGTACATTTGCAAGTGTGTACGTATGGGCATTTCAACTGGGCATGATGATTGTGCAACAAGTGGTTAATCAAGCTGTCTTCATCAATCCTGTTCTTGCAGATTCGACACTGTCTAGTTGATTTCCCATTGTTGGTCAGCTTCACAGCCCAAGCAGATTGGTCCATCCCTAAATCAGGCTTATTGCTTTCCCCAGGAGGGATGACAAGGCAATAGTCATGTGAAACATACAAGTGCCCCATTAGGCTGCGGTCAGTGAGATTCATATCGCAGTCAGGGCAATTCATCCAATTTGCCTGATCCTTACCGGGAGTGACTCTAGCCAAGGTTTGAACAGCATTGCCTTTCTTTTTACTGCCTTTTTTCGCTTTTGCAACTGGGCTTTCCTTGCAGCTGGACCGAGGACCTGTCTCATTGCCATTGTGGTTAATCGTTGACATGATGTTCTTGGCGGGTTTCAAATCAGTTGTGAGTGGTTCCTGTCCACTTTGGTTACTTGCCAGTGAATTGCCATCTGGAAAGGTCACTTTCCACTGCTGCATTGTTGCTGCTGCATTCTGCTGCTGCATTGTTGCTGCTGTATTCTGCTGCTGTATTGTTGCTGCTGTATTCTGCTGCTGTATTGGCTGTCCCTTATCAGGAGTGACACTAGCTAAGGTTTGATCAGCATCGTCTTTCTTTTCACAGCCTTTGTTCACTTTTGCAACTGGGCTTTTCGTGCTGCTGGGCGGAGGACCCTTGTCATTGGGAATGGTGGACTCTGAAATGGTGTTCCTGTCGGGTTCCAAATCAGATGTCAGTGACTGCTGTCCACCTTGGTCACTTGCCAGTGAATTGCCGTCTGGAACAGTCACTTTCTGCTGCTGCATTGGTGATTCTTGAGTTGACACACTAGGTGGTTCTTGTGCAATTGTCGTTAAAATCGGTTGTGGGTGTGTGTTCAGGTAGACTAGTTTCAGTCCTTGAACCACTACTGGTGACTCATGCTGACGGTAACTGTTCTCAGGCTGCAGTGGGAAAAACCAAGGAAGTGTTGCTCATGAAAGTGATACATGTAGTCATTTCATACCATGAGTGATACACAGGGTGTCAAAAAACAAAGGAAAACCAGATGTAAATGGAAACCTTAAAAAAATCTGTTTTTAAAATGAAAGATCAAGTGAGAGACCAATGTGTCCTCTCTCCAACGACACCTTGATTGTGTGTTTGTGGCCATGGACTACTGAGCATTTACTGTTAAATATCAAGGGGAAGAACTTGTACTGGGCCAAGTTTCACCTTTTGCTGGATGATTTGTAAATGCAAAGGTTGAAATGGTGAAAAACAATTGGGCCACGAGGGGTTTACTTTAAGAATGAGAGTTCTTAAATTGCTGTTTCCAAATTAATTAAAATGGTTTGAAGAAAATGATGTCTTCTTTATTTAACTTAAGCTGGTGCACACGCCCAGAATACCAGTTACCCTTTTGCACAAACTTGGCCCAGCCGGTACAAGTTTTGACCCTTGACAGAACAACATGGAATGCTCAGTCATCCGTGGCCGCGACACATAATCAATGTATCAGTGGAAAGAGGAGACAATTGGTTTTTCACATGATCTTGAACTTATTTGCAAATATTTATTAGATTTTTTATAATTTACATATTTATTCCACAGTAAAGTGCGACACTATAGAAGACCTTTTGAATTTTGATAATACAACTAGGATCTTGGTCTCTCAATTTTTGCTGTTAACATTGCAAGCTTTGAACAAATATCCTCAGCTGCAAAGGATATATATACATGTACAATGTACATATACTTGTACCGGTAACTGGTTTTGTATTTTAGAAAATACTGCATGGATATTGTTTTTAAAAGTGTTACGTATGTAATGAAGGACAATCAAGACAAAAACATAACATTTAATGAACCCCCCCCCATGTTGTCTGATTCAAGAAGATGTACAAAGGTTCTTGAATCAGACAACATGGGGGTCATTAAATGTTATGTTTTTGTCTTGATTGTCCTTCATAATTTAAGGAGCATTGTCCTTCACAAATTTAAGGAGCATTGGTGTTTTTAATTCTCTTATGCCATTGAAGTAATGTATCATGCCATGAAAGTGTTTTAAGAATGAAACCCTGTGGTAAGTCTTTTGATTGTATCCGAGGAAGCCAATGTCCTTCTGGGGATTTTAAGCTCTTATTTTTTTACAAACCTTGCTTATTCTGGAAGATCCACGCAGCAATCCTCGTGGAAGGCAGTGGAAGGCAGAGTCAAGGGCAATGTACCGGTACTTGTTGATGTCATGCTGTTCACTCATGTGATGTCTGAGGCAGGCCAGTGAGGCAAATGGACTTTTGCAGGTGTTTACATGCGGACATATCGGAAGGAACCAATGGTTCTGCAGCATGTGGTACACCAAATCAGAGCCGGCGATCATGGTCGTGCAGACTGGACATTGTCTAAAGCACGTCGGTTTCAAAGTCAGCTTTACTGCCAAAACGTTCTCACATAGGTTGGTTCTTAAATCTAGTGGTTTGAACCTGCGAGGAGGGACAAGGAAAGTGTAGTCGTGGCAGATAAACATGTGCGGCATTAGGGTATCAGAGAGGAGGTTCTTTTGGCAATCCTTGCATTGAACCCATGATGCATTTACATCAATTGTGCATGTGATGCGCTTGACTATTTTCGATTTTATGCCTGGCTTCATTTTGGGCACTTGCATGCGTTGTGTGCATCCCACGCACCCGCACTTTGGATAAATTTTCCTTAATTTGGGGTGAGGGTTCAAATCAGTGGTCGGATTGGCGACACTGATAGCCACCGTCTGCTGCTTTGGAGTTGCCTCTTGTGTAGGCAGTAGGTTTGGATCTGGCATGCCTGCTCCTGAAATCTCCTCTGCATGTACATTGATGTCCACTGGTCTCACGTCTTGGTTTTCAGCTAGCTGCTTATCATCGCAAGAACCATCCCCATGTTGCGAGGGCTACATTGGGAAAACAAAGCAGACGTTGTAAATAGGACAGTCAATACATGAACTGTAATGACACTTATTTCAGTTTCAGGCTAGGAATGATATTTGTGAGAGGTTTTAACATAACACCCATGTGAAGTAAAGTTTTTGTGCTATCTCTAAAAGGAGAGTTGGCCCCGACGAGAATAAAAATCACTGAGTTACTTGGTGGAAGTTGGATAGTGTTTGCAAGCAAAGCAACATAAGGAAAATTTTCCCCTTTTTTGAGATTCAAAGGGCATATGTAATTTTTTTTGAAATGCCTTCCTTGAAAAACTTACAAACTTAAAATAGCTTTAAAACTACTTAACTGGCTGGAAAAGCTAAGCCTCCTCTACTTAAACCCCAACACCAGAAAGAGCCCAGCAGTCTCTTGAAACAACTAAACTTATTCTTCTCAGAACCACACAACTCTAGGGATTATGTTGGGCGCGATAGGTCAATGTGTGCGATTGGTCGATCGTGCTGTGTTATCGGTCGATCATGATACTATTGGTTGATCGCAATGCCGCCAATTGAACACCTTTTCTTTGTTAATCATATCTCTGGAGGATTATTACAAGTAAAGTTGGAGATATCCGTCATGATCGACCAATGGCACAGTGTGATCGACCGATAAGGCAGATCAACCGATTGCGGCCCATGGTGTAACGGTTCCATGTGTACGTTACAGTAAGCCAATGAGGAAACTTTCCTTACAAATGTTTTCAAAATAAGACCATTTTTGGGCTCAAGATTTGATCTGAAAACCCTTAAACTGAACACTTCTCCAAAATTGACATCACAGGAACAGCATTCTTGTTGTCAGGAAAAGCATGGACAATTTTTTTTAAATGTTCTAGGCTACTTTTTTTCAATAAAATTAACCAAAAAGGGATATGAAAAAACTTTTCATACATGTACATTTACATTGTAATAGTCCAAAATTGACTCAAGTTTGACCATTCTCAATGCAAAGCCTTAAATCGCATTTAAAGGGACACTAGGTCCTGGAACAGCCCAAGTGAACTACAAAACGCGCTTTGAACGAAATGATGTTTATCGGAAAGAACATTTAAAAGGAGGATATAAACATCCACACAACTATCCTTTAAAAACTGGTTTTTTTTGGTGTTCTTCCTGTGTTATGCGTGCGAAAAAAAATTTTGGGGTCCACTTTTGCGACCCAAAAAAGTTGAGCTGTTTGGGTGCTAGTTGTGATTTCATTCGTAAAGTGTTCGCCTTTTGCAGATGTCAAAGAAAATATATTTTGTACATTGTTGGTGATTGGTCACCGCTGTTCCCGAGACAAACGTGTGTCGTACAAACACGGAACGACAGGAAAAAGTATTCGTGCTCTAAAGCGTCGTGTCCGATGTAAACAACCGGTTTTTTCCCCTCTTTTCTCGGGAACGGTAAGACATCAAGTTGGTTTCCTTTCAACCAGATGTTTTAAATAGGATAAGTATAACAATCCAAAACATGACATTTTCAGGGATTTCAGGACGTAGTGCCCCCTTTAATTTTAGCAGTTAGCAGATTTGTTTTCATATTGGCAAGTGTAGTCTGTATTTCCAGACTGTCATTCAAGTACAAGACAAATGAAGTCTATGTGTTTTGAGTTGACATAGTTGGGTGTTTTGAAGTCTTAAATCAGAGTCTGAATAAGCTTAAGTTAGACCAAATTTAGAATAGTTTTTCTAAACGTTTTTCGGATTAGGGCCTTTAACCAAGTCTCAGTATAATTGTGAATCCAACAGGTCAAGTCCCAGGCTACGCATTTTGAGTTCAATCTGAATTACAAATGGTGTGACTCATGTCAGGCTGAGTGTAAAGTCCTATGGCAATACCTTGAAAAAAAAAAACCCCAAAGAACAAGAAAATGAATTCGCTGCATTTCTGTCTTGGCAGAATGGACAGTCTCCCGTTTAGTCAGTCGGGGCTGCTGGGGACCCAGGGAGAGGACCCTTGCTTCATGGTCATGAACTCCCAGGTGGAGGAGTCTCAAGACGCAGCGCAGGCTGTTAAGATGACCAACACGGGCCTGACTGGGCCCAACAAGCAACGGATGCTGTGGGAGCTTGCCGCGCTGAGAGGAACCCAACCCAGTCCAGTTTTGGTAAGAGAATTGGGTTGAAAGTTTGCATGAATTTGGAGAAAAAAAAATATGACGATTGCCACCAAAATTTGATGATGTATGACTCATGCTCTTAAAAAACCCAACATTTTCCTCCCTGAACGCCTTATCCCCCAGGCTCATCTTAATTTAAGAAAGTCAAATTGATTGATTTCGTTTAAGCATGAAACTTGGTACAATAACATTTATTAGGGTACCTTCTCAACGATTTTGAAATTTCTGCAAGTTTTGAGATGGTATTGTGAACCAAGAACAGTTGTAAGGATTGAAGCAGGAATAAAGTACACGGTTTGTTTATGTGTAATTTTTCTTGACACTGATACAACTTTTCCTTCCTTCAATATTTAGATAGCAGATAATCACCATGGTGCTGGACACTTTACGTCATTAAAAACAAAGGATCGAAAGCATCCACAAAAGGAGGAATTCAAGGCAAGAAAAATGACAGGTGAAGATATGTATATAATTGAAAAAAGCACATGAAAAGGATGAATCTCCACTACCTAAACCTCTACACCAGCGAGAGTCCGGAAGTCTCCTGATGTTAAAACAAATGATTCATCTTAGAACCACACAATTTAAAAGAGATAACATTCATGATAATTTACCACAAACCTTCCGTACTTAGGCTGGAAGGGAATGGGGAAAAGCACTTCACAGATGATTCAAATATAATGTCACTGAAGGAAGGAGAATGAAGCAAAGTACTCACATTTGAACGAGGACGCTCTTGCTCCTCTGCATGTGCACTCAGCTCTACTGGTTTAACATCTTGGTTTTCAGCTAGCTGGTCATCATCAGAAGAACCATCCTCTTGTTGCGAGGGCTAATTGGGAAAACAATATATTATTAACAACACATATTTCAGTTTTAGTTAATTTTTTTGGTGCCGTCTGTTGCTTCTTTAAGGATCACAGCCAACGAACCCACAACAGGGATCAAGCTCAGCACCAAACCAAGGTGACGGTAACCAGGGAACCGCAGCAGGGAATGATGGGACTGGAGGCAGTAACCAAGGCAACCAGGGGCAGGATGCAGGCGGCGGGGCTGCTGGGGGTGATGAGGGTGGTGGCAATGGGGGTGAGGAAGGGGGAGGCGGGGACGGGGAGGACGATGATGAGGAAGATGACCACGAGGAGACAGGGGAGGAGACATCTCAAGACACAAGCAGCAGCCACAGGTGAAAACTTGAAAACGGGTTTGCGAAATGCTGGCTTCATCGCTGAAGATTCATAAGAATACTACCATTTTCAAATCCAATGACAGTTCACCAAACATTAGCCTCGTGTGACACAACTGGGCATCTGTGAAACTCGCATGTTTATTGTGCTTGAGTCTGTCCAGATAGGTGACTTAAATAATGAACAAAGCGTGCAAAGCTGAGATTTTATTGACCCATTCTAATAAGCTGCACCTTCAGTAGTCTTAATTTTTTCAGTACATGTAATGGAATGTGATGTTAAAAAAATAAGGCTCAAACACCCCTTCCCCACACCCCCCCCATTTTTTTTTAAAAACTGGGAAGAATCCTGGTTAACATGGTAACGTTTAGAAAAGTGCTAGATTGGGAATTTCATGATTCCTAGTTTGGGAATCGCCTGTGTTCAGTGTATAACACATTCTTAACTGATGTTTCAAATTCACTGTACATAAGTGTACATGTTTTTTTCATGTACGCCTGTAGCTCGGTGCCTAAGTTGGTGCCGCCTCCAGCACTTCACACACCGCCAAGAACAGTGAGAGTCAAGGAAATCGTGGGAGGTACTGTTGGGAGCCCAGCCACATCACCAGGTGAGTTTGCACAAACAAAAAAGGGTTTGCACAAAAATTATTCCCAACACCCCAACAAGCCACAACAAACTACCCCAGAATAGGCCTACTATTACTATAGTTTTGCCACTTCAGTCTAAAACTACACTTTGTTTTTGGTTCCTAAGTCTGTCTTGTCAGTAATGTTATTCGCTATAAAAATAACCATTGTCGGATGTGATGTGATTTTGTGCACTTGAGGGGCCATTTGGTTCTTGAGGGGCCATTTGGGCCATTTGGTCAATCTCATGGACCAAATCAAAGCTGTCAAAACTGTTTCGTTTGTTAATACATGTACAGTGAAATCACGATAAGTCAAGGTCTAATAATAATAAACGTTTCAGAAAGTCAAATTAAAGATGTTTAAGACCCTTTTAATGCTACCCTGATTTCCCTGAAGAAAATGTATGCGTGTACGTGTAGATAACTTGATTGTAGAAAATATGGAACCTTGTTTAACTCATCTCTGGATATCTCATTTTTTTAATGCATATCCTTGAGACTGGATTTATCAAGATTTCACTGTGTTGATTTTGGAGCAGTAAGGTTAACACATAATGTCATCAGTTTCTTACCATAGGAAGTAGAACAGATGATTCTGGTGAGACAAACAAATAATCCCCATCTCCATGCAATTCCTACAGAGACCAATGAAATCAGAAAGAAATTGCAGCATTAGGGACATTACAAATCAGACAGTGTTTGGGTACTTCAGGAGCTCAGGGAATAAACCTGAAAATGTTATTTTCTATCCCTTCAAATCTTAAAGGGAAGATACAACATTTGCAAACATCACATAAGGAAATGATCAAATTATCAAGAAATACCTTACTGGATTGTAAGGGAATGACAGTCTAAAGCATCGTGTAAAATCGTGGCTCCTGGTGTGCTGACATTTTCAAGAAAAATGTTATTTTTCCAACGCTGGTCGGCCGACCAGCGTTGGAGAAGACTGGCTTTTTCAAAAACTACTCCTATTTTTTCTTAATTAGTTATTCCGCATTTTCTTTGCAATTGATGACACACCTGTGAAGGGATACAAGCCTGCTAGACTGATTCTCTGACCTTACAATTCCCCAAAGTCTATAAATTGCTCTGTTTCATCTTAAGTGGGGTCAGGGAACCAAACTACAAGAATATGATTGGTTTTCTTGGTTTTTCCAGCATCTAAGAACCCAAAACGTGAAACAAGTCATCTTCACAATATTTGCTATAGCATAATAATCCTCCAAATCCATTTATTTCTGAAAATTGCAGCAAAAGCAAATGTTGTACATTCCCTTTAAAAGTAACAGTAAACAAATCAGTACAAGTTTTTCTTTGTTAAAGTACCGTTACGTGGTGTATCCAAAAAAATTGTCAAAAATTTACTCGGGTTTTACCATTCTCAATGCAAAACCTCAAATCTCATTTAAGTTTAGCAGTTAGCAAATTTCTTTTCATATTTGCAAGCTTATTCTGTATTTCCAGACTCCTATTCAAGCATGAGGCAAATGAAGTGTACAATGTATGTGTTTTGAGTTGACACGGTTAAGTGTTCTGAAGTCTCTATTTCAGAGTCTGTATAAGCTAAAATAAGACACAATTTGGAATAGATCTTGTAAAAGTGTTTCTAGTAATTGCAAATCTAACAGCTACGAATTGTGAGCCCATTATTTGCACTGCCTATGTGGTTTATCTGTAACTGAAACCTTTACTAGTTTACTCACATCCTCATCCAAATCACTTGGACAAGCGTTTTCTGATTCTTGCTTGACTTCTGTAGCAGATGTAGTCTGGCAGTCCTCTTGTAGGGAGTCCAGTGGTTTGGGGCCGTACATCTGTAACCATGCAAAATTAGTCAACTTCAAACCGTGCTAATAAGTATCAACATGACGCTAAAAATACAAAAAAGTATCCTGATACTAATAGGAGTACCGACTTCTATTATCAAAAACGTTAATCCAGAACTTTTGATTCATTTGGATGGAAAAAAACAAATTCTCAACTCCTGCTTTCCATATCAACAGATTGCACCAAACATTACCACGTGAGCTGGCACTTTCATTAAAACCATCGTGTGTTTTTATCATAACTTTATAAATAAAATGGTACAGACTAGTACAATCATGCCCAGAAAGTTCAGACTTTTATTAAAACTGGTATAAAAAGAAATAATGAAAAGCTTTCCGCACCTTTCCGCAAAGCAGCTCAAATTTATCATTTTTTTGGGTTTTTAGTTTACGCTGATGGCATCGGTGCCTGACTTATACATGTAATCTGGCACGCGGTAACAGTTATAACTCGTGCACACATGTTCCGTGTAATTGCTGCATTACATGGAGTGTGATCGGCCCCTGCAAGACTTTGTCTGGCACCCGGTATTAGCAGTGATAATGCGTGGACACATATTCCGTGTTGCTGCGTTATGTGGAGTGGGATCAGAACTATACTTTGCCAGTGCCTAAGGGCACTACGGCAGGCCATCTGGCATTGTCTGGTCGCATTGCGGAGTTTCTTCGTCGCGTGCCTGGACAGTGCGAAGGTCCGGGGAAAAAACTCGTAACTTTTTTGTTATGAATATGAGTGGTAAAGACCTGATTCAAAAATTAAGTTACTGTTTATTTAATGGGGATTCCTATGATATCAAACATTTTAATAAGATTAATAAATGATGCTGAAAGTAGTTAATGTAAATCTAACATTTAACATTTGGGCCAAATACAAAAAAACCCACATGTTTATCGTCCCTGCCAACTTCCTTTTTGGAGGCTGCCTAGTTCCTTTAAAAAAAAAAAAAACACGGAAAGTGATACATTTTAACTAGTGACATCATTTTGGCCTCTATGTCTGTTACCTTTAGCGGCCACCTTGAAAAATAGCCTGGATTTTTTTATTTTTTGTTATTTTTGAAAAATGCAGTAAAAAAACACCGAAAAAGTCCACAAATTCGGCGGTTAAAGCAAATGCATCTAAAACTGTTCACTGTAGACCAATACAACTCTAAATGACACTGTAAATATGTTCAGTTCTCTTGTCCAACTTGTCTTTCATTTTAAAAGTGTCTTTGAACAGTGGAAACACCAACGGTTGCAGGAAATTGTAAAATGGCGGCCATCTTGAAAAATAAAAATAAAAAGCCCTTCTTCCTCCTTTTTTTCAAAAACCCGGACAAGAAACATGTTTTTTTCTTATTAGGCCTAAACATGTTTTTAAAAAATTTATTTGGCCTTAGTACCTTACTGACTAGTTACAGAATTGAAACTCCAAATTCGGCCATTTAAATTTATCTCCAAAATGCAAACACATATGAGGCTGATTCACATGCCATTGATTTTGTTGTTTAATTCTCTTTTCAGTTATACAAAAGTGATATTTCTTTCGTTAAAAATATAAAATTCGCTGGACTCCATACCTGTTGCTGCATCGACAGCCAGGTTGCCATGTTGTGCCACACACTCTCAATCTCATCTTCAAATTTTGGCTCAGTTTTTATCTTCAACATTCTCACAGGATTCATGTTGTAGCTCTCCTCTTGAACATCACCTTCACTATTCATCATTCTGCTGTATATTGACAAATATACCCCACACAAAATTAGACACAAACACTGAGCGCTGCATCAGTGCCTGCACTGTTTTCATTGATCTCCGAGCTCCATGTACTGATTGACATTTGACCTCAACTACCATAAGCTAGACTAGAGAGGGCAGCATTACAATTTTCAGCAATCACAAGAGGGCGCTATTTAGAAATTGTAATCCTAAACAAGGAGCTATAAAAAGGATTTTTATAGCTCCATGACCTAAATACTGATCTTGATGATAAGCTTAATGATACATTGCATTACAGATTATGTTGTTTTCTGATTGCTTAAGCTTTTTGTTTAGCTAAGATATGAAATGAAAGGAGTAGAAAAGTATTTTAAAAACATTGAAGGTTTTTTGGGGGGGTTGGCTTTCCATAAATCTGAAAATGCTGAATTTGTAATTTCTAGTAGGGGGTACGTACATGTAGGGGGTACGTACATGTAGTTAATATATTTACAGACAAAGAATAATATCCGACTTTCCTTATGCAGTGTTGCCAAACCTCTCCATAGAAAAACAAATTCATTCAGTTAAAAACTGGTACTATTATCTTAATAATGCTTACTGTTGAACTTTTGTGAACAATTTTAGTGTCATGAATTTATCAACTTTAAGGAAATTGTTAACGTTAATGCATGTTCGGGGCCGCGCCACATTAGGGTACGCCAACAATACAGTGAACTTCCTAGATCTTCCACGTTGATCTTACAATTATTATCAGCCTGAAAGATTTCCCTTTTAATGAGATAGTATTCATGTTTATATATTTCTCAACCAAATCCAGCAACGAGATAATCACCAATTAAAAGATGGGTATTAAAAAAAAAAGTAACAAAAAAAGGGGGAGGGGGCTTTTAATAAAAAAAAACTAATGAACAAATAAAAAAATTAATGCTTACATAGCGCTTTCTGTTGTATCCACAATATCAAAGCGCTTTATATACAAGTACAAGAGAATGTTTAATTATCTCTCAAAATCTTTAACAAAAAAAAGTGACAGGAAACATATTTCACAAAATAATTTCAAAATAAAATTTATCATTATCAGACGCAGCAGCTGGCCCAGAACAAAGCGACGATGACCAAGGAGTAGGCAGTGAGAGAGGGGGCGGAGTTAGTGACGCCCCCACCGCTGTGGTAGGGGATTCGACAGACGAGGGTCAGGGGGCTGTCACCACCCCGTCGCCTCCCAGTGAGCGAAGTAGAGACACAGACGGACAGGCAGGAGGGTCTGGACTCATGGACCCACCGTTGCATTCCATGATCCCAAGGAAGAGATCATCAGGTAGGCAAAACTAGGCCTGTTTTGCAGGCAGTATATGGTGAAAAACTGGATTGATACCTTGTCGAATTTGCTTTAGGAATGGTGACTAAATGTGGATGTAAATGAACAGAGGGGTGTACAGTGCGGACAGAGTTTAAATTTCCTCAATAATCCAATGAAATATTGCCCAAAAGACTGCTTGAGACTGGGCCATTTTTTGTATTTTCTTGTACCTGTTATTGTGTTTGCTCTCTAATAAGGCTCAAGACAAAATTCCTTTTTAGATTGTCTTTGTTTTGGAAACTCAGTTTCAGGTCTTTTTATGAAAAGGGGAACTAACTAACAGTAATAAACAGTGGATTCTACTGTTTGGATTGCAGATACCAGTCATTCCAGCATCAGCAGCAGTAGCAGTCATAGCACCAATTCCAGTAGCTACCATGCATCACACGACACTGCATCCAGCAGTCTACTCAGTTCCTTATCAACAAGTTCATCTGGCAGTTCTGGAGTGCAGGCTACATCCTCGTAAGTTGCTGCAGTTTCAAAAATAAACTCTACATTTCCTTGCCTTTGGTGTACACTCAGTTACAGCTTTTGCTAAACTGTATTGCAACCCCCAACGAGGTGACTTTTCAATGTTGGCGAAGACAAAACTCAACATTTCGCGAAAGTTTATAGGATCAAGTTATGTGTTGTTATGGAGTCCTGTTCAGATTTGAACAGTTATACTGAAATTACAGGTTGGCACAGGACCACAACCAATTTGTCATAATTTAAACAAGTTTTGTTCTTAGACGAGTATGAGAACAGAAAGCCCAGGGATGATTGCTCAAATGCTGTGTTAATCTTGGAGTAATTCTTTCCATAAAATTGTTCTGAAAAATTTAGAAGGTTAGAACCCATCTTTAGTAAATTTGGGTAGGCAATTAAAAATGCGTACCTTGTGCTATTTTCAAGTTTCACCTCGAAAAATAGAATTGTTTTATTCAATTGCTAATCTCTTAGCAAGTAAAAGTTATTCACTTTTGAATGAGACATCAAACGAAAAAAAATCCACCGATGTTTAGTTATTGAATTATTTCCTCACAAAATTTGATTTATTGGCTGCAAGACAATATTTCGGCTCTTGCATGGCAGGTTCATTTGTGCACACATTGAAAGCCTTATCAGAGGTTTACAGAGGCCCAAAATGGAGGGGGGGGGGGCTTTTGGGCTTATAAAAATAAAAACAAGCCATACAAATTGAAAATTTGTTAAGAGGAAAAAATCAAAGATTTGAAGAGCGCAGGGTATGCAACTTAAAATCATGTATTTTATTTGAATCAAAGATCCTAGAAGAATATGCACGGAGTTGTATTCCACGACATTCTTGTGCAACTGGGATGAAGTTATCCCCTCTCTCGTTTTCAACTGAAAAAAAAATACCCAAAACTGGATGCTACCGTCTGACTCTGTTTTTCTCTTATGTAGAGGGTTCACACAAGTCAAGGAACATCCAGCCAAGCCTTCGGTACCGCTTCCACGCACTCCCTCTCATGTCCTTGAGTCGTTCCGTGGGGAAGCCAGCGGGGAGGGAGAATCGGAACATCCTCAGTCCTCACAGCAAGATCTATTTGCTGATGTCGCAGAGGAGAAGAGAGGTAGGTATTAGAATGTCCCAACCCTAGACAAGGGGGAAAGGGTAGCGGGGGAAATAATTTGATGAACCCATAAGTCTCCGTACCGCCCTTGACTGCCCTGCCTGTTACTCCTTAATACTGCTAAAAAACATTCCCAGCGCAGTTGGTGAAGGCAAACCTAATTTGATTTATATCACCCTGACGCAAAATTCCATCTTATAATAGTTTATGCGGTACCCGCTGCTATGTACATCAGATTTGAACAAGCCAACCGATCCCGTTAGCTCGGTGGTCGAGTGGTAAGACATCTGCACTAGAAAGCAGGAGGTCGTGGGTTCGAGTCCCACCCGAACGATTTTTTCCAACTTTCACTCGGGAGGTTACACACTGAGTATACAGTGTTTATACGTTGGTGAAGGGCAAACCTAATTTGATTTACATCACCCCGACGCAAAATTCCATCTTATAATACTTTACATGGGCTCGATGCAAAATGAAAAGGAATGCACATTTGGTTTCCTGCACAGTGGAGGATTTGGGAGGATTTAGGTAAAGTCCCAGCGGAATGGCCAAAGGCGTGAGGAATAACGTGATAAAACTCTGCCCAGGCTTTGGTAATGGTGATGCTAATATCTCTTGTAGTGGAGGACTGAAAATGACAGCAAGCTTGCAAAGGGTCTGCATGCATATTCAGTGTTTATTTTGATATTTGGTTTTTGCTGGATTCTCCCCATGCTCGGTGCCACAATGTTTTATTTTGCCAGTTCCATGTCCTGTCTTAATTTCAACTTCATCCTCGGTAACTCATCCCATTACCTGTAATTTGTTGTCTACCGTTATTTGTTTTTACCAGATTTACCCATTTTCTTGATTCGGGTCAAACCCACTAGACACGCTAGTTTTGTTTTTACAGCACAATATTTGCTGCTTGTGAATATTTGACTCGGAATAACTGAAAATCACAACGCAGGCATTTGTTCTACGGTTTCCCTAGTAGAAAAAAAATATACCCAAGCCCAACAATATGAATATGAAAGCTTGCTGCTGGCAACCAAATCCTACTACCAAAGCATCTCAAAAAGTCTTGCATTTTTAGCTGAGTTTGAAGAGGTAAACTTATAATGCATCTTGCAAACCCGGAAGAAATCCGCAGGATTAGCATGAAAAGAAGCAGAAATGGCAAGCAAAGCAATAAAAGAAGTTTTTTTTTTTGCTGGCAGATATTCAGTGGTTTTGCCCCCTTTGGATTGATATTTGTTCAATTTCTCCCCAAATCCTTTCTTTTCACTCATTGTCTGCACTGCATGATCTCCCATTCGTTTGACCCCACATGCATGTCCGTATCAACAGCTGACAGAGTCCGGGTACTAGCCAATGAGACCAGCACATCCGAAGACGCCTCCATTGCCGAGATCCCGCCCACCCCAGAGGCTTATAAATATGGATTTCAAGACACGCCTCCTCATAAACTGGGTACATCTTTGCTGATTGTAAACCTGCGTTATTCCATCTGATTTCATTTCATTTCAGAAACTTTTTATTCTAGGGCTGCCACGCTATCGTCGTAATGAACGGCAGTGGCACGGCACTGTTCTAAACAACATGTGGTTGCCGTGCCAAACTCTATTCAATTCGAAGTTGGGGTAAACATTTTAGAAATGCGCATGCTCACTCTCTCTCGTGCCGCATCACAGGGAGTGAAGTCTGCACGAATATCTTGATCATGCTGAAGGTCCATTGAACTGCTTTAACCTGGCCAGTTACTCCAGATACATTAAGGTTCGACTATTAAGTTCAGAGCAATTGCCATGCTGTAGACAAGCTATGGCTGCACTCATTTCAAGTTCGGCGCGGCCATAGCATGGTGTCTAGATCGGGCCTAAGTCTCGGTTAATATGACTAATCAGACCGCCATTTGTCTTTGGTTTCGTTGGCATGGAATGGTATGCTAGTCCATCTCATGTTATTCTCAAACTAGTTTTGGTACCCATTTGTACTTGCCGAAGAACACAGCTGCTGCATTCGAACCTCTGAGCCTTTGATCATGAGTTGCAAACCCCCATTCACTGGGCCACGCTACTCCCGAATAATAAGTCAAACAACGAAGTTGCATTTAAGCTTACATTGTGCCACTTGCTAAGGTGTAATAAACTTTTGTTTTGTATTGTCATTTAGAGAAAGTGTCTCATTCATGTTTTTGTTTTTAACAATGCTGGTACTGAATTTCTTAACCTCAAAACCTTGACCAATTTATTATGCTTCTGTGAATTTAATTCTTAGATCAAACTTTGAGACATCATCAAGACCCCGGCAGTCTGCATCAGCTAGGAGAGCAAGTCTTGGTGAATGAGACCAGCACCTCGGACGACGCCTCAGTCACCATCATCCAGCCCTCCCCTGAGGCCTGGGGGACAGTCATTGCCAATACGCCACCCCACAAGATTGGTAGGTGTTTTGAAAGCTTAGGGGATAGCATGTGCTTCTTAGTTTTAGCAACCCAGAATAAGGATCCTTAAAAAAAGGCAAAAGTGAATATAGGGCAGGAGAGCTCAGTTGGTAGGTCGTCCATTTTGTTCATCAGACACTTATAGTTTTAAATTCGCTAGATCTTTTCTAACAGGTAAGGTTTGAAGGTTTACATGATGATGGTAGCAAGAAGATGATGAACTGTAGCACCATAGGACAAATATCTGAGATTTGTCACATGGTGCTACGTACTGTAAATCTTAATCATTCCAACAGGTAATTGTAATCTTTTATTGTCTCTGCGTGGTTAGTCCATTTGACAAAATATTGTTTTTTCCTTTTTGTTTTTTTTAGGTTAAAAATTTTTTTTATTGAAAAAAAGATGCTGGTTTCTTCCAGTTTTGAGACTATATTTGTGTACTGCCACTTTAATTCAGCCCTCGGACTGCTATAAACCAGCGTTATTTCTTGAATTAAATCATCATCTGTCATTTTTATATTTCCAACCATGAAAATTTGGCCCAGAAGAGAGAAAGGCTAGGCAAACTAGAATGCTTGAATCATTACCACATAACTAAAATAAAACCTGACTTTAACCTTTAATAACCAATTATTTAATAGTCCTTGGTTATGTTTGTTCTCTCATCTTTCTGTAGAGCAATATTCGCGAAGTTCCCGCTCTGCCCATGAGGGCAGCGATCGCACCCCTAGCACTCCCTCCGAGACCCTCGGGAGCCTCCACCTATCAGGCCAACAGGAACTGAGCAGCTCTCAGGATAGTGGGCCCTCCATCATACCGCCAACCCTCGGTGCTTATGGGTCCATTCCACAGCTGATTCCCAGCACTCCTACCCCGCAAGATGGTGAGAGTAGAGGTCAAATAATTTGCAAACTGAAAGTGGTATTAAACCCAACAATCATCACGTTCAATCAATAATTACAAATTGTAAAATAATACTTACTATTTGATAAATGAATGGGAATGAGTAGGAAGATTTTACCACCACCATAGGAAGTGGGTCGGGGGTTTTCACCCCACAAAAACAAAAATCTGCATAAAAATAGATTTGGTGCTCTATCTTACAGTGCTTTATACAAATAGTCTCAAAGTGCTTCATTTTATGACTACTCATGTTTATCAGACCACGAGATCAGCTTTCTGCAGGAGCTCCAGATCTGTGCAACCTGTTGTCGTACTACATTGTATTTGAACCATTCGGCATAAAAACTCATCCCACTATGGGGTCAATTTTTTAACAATTGTTGACTGCTGTGATGTTGGATATGATGTTTTTAACACATGAGGGGCGCATAACCGAGGGGGTTAAAATGGCATATCCCACATCACAGCAGTCAACAATTGTTTTGTTATATCGTACCAATAACTCAAAAAGATAAATGGTTGTAATTAACTTACTGTGTAAGCAATAAAATTAAATCACTGTGATGTAACCTTTGAATAACTGAAGGTTTTGATGTCCTGCCAGACATGGGACTTAGCGTTTGACGTTGCAGTTTTCATTGCACAAAGTTAGCGCGCCGGCAGGCTCCACAAGCACGCACAACGCGTGCAATGAATGCATGTGATATCGCCCTCAGTGTGTGACATGGATTTTTATTGTCCAGACACGTGGCCGTCCTAGACCAATGAAATTACTGTATCCGAGCACACAATATAACAATATCAGTTATTTACAGCTAGAAGTCTACCTGGTGTACATGTACATAATAATAAAAATAATAATTACCCTGGATTGAACATTTGGGAGACATCCCCATAGACTTGTGCACAAAATGTTTTAAACTTAAATGTGCCCTAACCCAATATTCCCTTGTCCTTTTTCCACAAATTTCGGTATGTTTACTAATTAGACCACGAGCAACAATAATAAATTAATTGCGACACCAAAATTGTGCCTGTAAAGGGGGCTGTGACATTAGGGAGACATGAAAATGTCTCCCTAATGACCGATGTCTCCCATCGTGCGAAAAAATTACGATAACGTGTTTCCTTAATGGTACCTTTACACGTATAACTGGACTCATTGAGCGCCAAATTGCCATTGTTCAGCTGACGGGCATGATGGCCTTGAACAAAAGTAATGCTCTGAAGTGTTCCTTCACGCCCAACACTCCCTTATCTAAACAGAACAATGTTCGTTTCTTTACAGAGGAAGAACCAATGGAACTCAGCATTCCGGATGATGATGACGTTGCCGTGACAACTCATCCTGCCAAAAGACCAAAGAGTGCTGGAGTCTATGATGATGAATATGGGGTCAGTTAGTGTGTCAATGCTTCTTCTTAACTGTTTTATAAAAAAAAAAAAGGTCACATCTGTGTATACTTTTTAGGTACATTCTCACACCTTCAACTTGTGAAAAAGATACTCATTTTCGAACGATGATTGAAGAGATGGATCTTTTTCCTTGATTCATCTCATTGGTAAATGATGCACAATGTTAGTTTAAATATTTCCTCGATAAGTTGGTCATTGTTCATGTTGCACCAACAACCAGTACAAGTAGGTTCACCATAATTCAGCCCCTTTTTAGACTGTTTTATATTCTAATTTCCTTTTACCAGCATTAGACAGGGGTGTGAAATCCCAGCTTTCAAGCTGATTTCAGCTTTTTTTTTGTTTTGGGTTTCAGCTTTTTTTCCTCACCTGCTGTGTACAAAAGTATAGGAGATTTCCAAAGTTTGGTTTTTTTTACGCCTTTTACATATGTTTTCAGCTCTTTTTATCAGTGGTCACTCACACCCCTGATTAGAGTTGATCATGTCATCCCCATACGTGGAATTCGGAACTGATTTTGATAAACCTGTAACTGTGAAGTCCACAAGTCATAAAAAGATGAGCTGTTTCAAAATGATGAAAATGATATGATTTATAAATCCTGGATTTGTATAGATCCCAGAATGGCAGCAGGTTCTGAACAAGGAGGAGCAGGCTGCCCTGTCACGTAGCAGCAGCACCAGCAGCAAGACAACGACGTCCTCATCTGACCAATCCTCGCAATCCTTCGGGAGAATCTCTGCCCAGATGAGAGGACAGCAGTTGGAGTCATTCCAGGTATAGCACTGTGTGGATTACATAATATTGTGCTCACAGTTGTATTTGACCGTTACATCTGAGGACAAGGTATTGTGTGTCCCTTCGTTTCTATAATGTAACTCTTCCACAGACTTATCACACTGACTTATGTTCAAGGACCATTCTTAATAAATGATGTACTTTTGAGGACAACAAAGAATCTGTTCTTCTTCTTGGTCTTGCTGTCCTTGGGATGTATGTTGTACATGTAATAATAATAATAATATTGGCTGCTTGTATAGCGCACATGTCAGTCACGAAGTGACACTCCTGGCGTTCCAATATTACCCTGGCTTTAGCATGGCTGCCATTACGGCGCTCAAGCATTGAAGGAATTCCTTCCTACCAGGTACCCATTTACTACACCTGGGTGGAGAGAGGCAATCGTAGTAAAATGCCTTGCCCAAGAACACAAGCACCATGTTCCCCATCAGGATTCGAACCCACCTACCGCAGCACACGAGTCGAACACCTTAACCATTGGGCCACAGCACCCAAATATACACTACTTCACATACTGAACACAGTGTATATGCAACCTGTTTCAAATTTCTTTTGCACAGCCTGTAGCGTTAGTAACTTAAACAAAAGCAAGTAAATGTCAAAATTCACACTCTTTCCTTTTCACTGCTGAGGGAGTTACTTGTGACAGAGTCTGTTGTGAAAGTTGTTGCTTGTGGTAACACTGGAGAGGCTGCATGAAAAGTGTTTTGAAAAGTACTTGGGAGAATAAATGTCAATTTAAACGCATCGTTTCTTTTTGTTTTATCAAAGATGAGTAGAAAGTCTTGTATGTCAATGTTTCTATTTTGATCCCTTTTTGTGCTTTTTCTCTGAATACTCATGTTTTCTTCCATTGAAACTCCTTTCCATGTATAAACCAATCCGGTCACACTATGACTTATATCATGGAGGCCATCTTCAATGACGAAAGCATTGTGCTAGCTATTGTTCAGATAATCCATCACGGGGCAGTTGCTTAGTACAAGAGTATACTTTATGTACAATTGTTTCTCCATTAAAGGGGCCTCTCAAGTGTACAGTGCTGCTCGGACTCACCTATATGAAGGAAATTTCCAGTTGTGTGTCTTGTTTATGAGTGTACTGTACATGTTTTTGATTATTTAACTTCAGTAGCTGCTGATGACGTTATGCTTGAGTGTTAATCACTGATATGCCAATCCGCCATCGTGAAATACAGTTACCATAAAAAAAAGAGAAAGATATACTGGGTTGCTTTTTTACTTGAACCGTTCCTCCTTATAGGCTTGGCAGCCAAGTAGTCAGCAGACAACTTCAACAACCTCGGAGGAGCCTTCAAGGAGTCGTCCCCCATCCACGCAGTCCAAGCTGGAGGCTGGTGAACCAGAGTCAAGCAGAAAGAGACAAGACAGAGACAACATCTCTGACAAACCACGCTCTGTAAGCGCCTTAACTAGAACCAGGGGAAAAGTGGAGGGTGGGCAGCAACAAGAGTTCCTCAGCCAGGTGAAGAATATATTCATCGTCATTCAGGGTGGAATTTTGTTCCGAGCTAAAGTTTTAAAAACTTGCAAAAGCTTTTGTGGGAACAACTTCTTCATTGGATGCAGACTCATGAAGAAGTTCTTGTATCTGATGAAGTTGTCGTTTTCTGCTTAGTTTTTATCTAAGTTTAGTCATTCAAGTGCTAGATTTGTGTTCCATCTGGGTCTAGAATGTGAGTCTTATACCTAGACTTTCCCTTTTGTGTACTGAAACTGTTAGTTGTAAAGTCTGTTTCATGCATGAGATTTTTCAGACTTTTGTCTTGAATTCAGACTTTTTGGAATTCTGAGAGAAAGACATTATCAATAAAAAATGCATCTTTCAGACCTTTCATCCAGTTTTCAGACTTTTCTTAAATTGACAATCTCAGCCCTGCTGTTTCCTAATTATATAAACTATATAAACTGCTAATAAGCTTGTCACACTTAAATTAAAGAAAGTTTCTTGTATTTAAAAAAAATAATCCACAATTTCAATCAAATCAAATTCCACCATTTGAATCATATCAAGCTGTGTGTATAGATTGTGAAGGAAGATAAACAGTTGCAGTTTATGAAGTATTGTACATCATTTTTCTCTTTGTAAATTGTTTTGTCTTTGTGACTCTTGGTTATGTGTTCATCAGCCTGCCAGAGACATCCCAGAGGATCCAACATCCACTTCAAAGTTCCAACAACAGAAACAACCGTCAGTGCCAGACAAGCCAGCAACTCACCAACCAGCTATCCCGCAACCCCACCAAGACACGCCAACAAGACTGACACAACTCAAGACGAAAGAGACCGGCCAACGGGAGCCAACCATAGCCTCCTCGTCACTCTCATCTGGAGAAAAACAAGAAAGGAGGCATGGGGAAGATGTGAAGGAGGGAGAGGTGTCAAGGCAAGCTGGCAGGGGAGGGTCGTCTGATGAGTGGATGCTGCACTACACAGCAACCCAGACAGATACAGAGGCTGAAGCTTTTGAGGAGGGAACTCAGAGAGGGAGCAGCTATGCAGGTAAGCCGTACCTCACAGCTGAGGTTTTACAGCTGGGTCATTCCATAAATTTGGGGTCAAATATTGTGTGTGTCCCTGTTTCATCTGACATCTATGAAGGGTTCGACCAATAGCGGAAGTTCGTTCCCCAAATGCGAGTAAAAACAGCGGCGGTCTAGTCAAAACCATTCCTTAAGTAGTCCGCCTGATGCAAAAATTTAAAAGTTCTATTGGGGACGAGTGAAAAGGCCCATGGACTAGATATAAGTCTGTTTCACTATTCCGGCTAGCTAGTGAAAAAAGGGTGAACCCTGCTATGATTTTATAATTCTGGTGCACTCCTTAAAGAGTCCTTAATGTAGTCGTCCTCCAAGAGTGATTACGAATAGCAAACAACCGACCCAACAAATAAAAAATCATTAGGAGTAATTCTAAACAATACTTGAATGACAAATTACAAAGTACCAAGGTAACAGGGACTGAAAAAAAATGTCACACTTTGACACACTTTATTTATAGAATGACCCAGCTAGAAAGTGTCAAGTATATCTGAGTGACTTTCACATAAGCCGTAGTGTGCTTGTTTGCGACTTAGTCTCAGAAAAATCAGCATCTAAGGCTGCATTAATTGCAAAATGGTGGAGATGGACAGATTACAGAGAGAATTGCAAAGAATTTTACTTTGCAGTTATAAAGGTGATCAGGTGTACTGTCATGTGGTGTTTGACGTGCTTGTCCATTTTTGCTGTTCCTAAATACTTGTTGATGGGCTGTGGTACAGGCATATAACATCTTCCAAGTTCTGTTAAACCAGGCTTCTACCAACCAGATCTGAAATTGTCATTCATGGTTGCAATGACTAAAGCTTGTAAACTCCTACATTAGCTCTCCTTGCCTTACTGTCAAAAATGTTGATGTGCACATCCAAGAATCACAAAACAAGAACGTTTCTCTGTTGTTGAAGGTGTTCTAAGGTTACTGTAAGTATCTTCTCTTTCTGCAGTGCAACATCCTCCAATGCACACCTCAGCTCATCCAGCTCTATCGACAACCTCAGTGCCTCAGCATCCTGAGGAGGCAACAGCAATCTCAACCACTCAAGGAGGAGCAGCGGCTGCTCATACCCTGATGAGCTACACGGACGCTACCTCCTCCTCCACAACTACATCATCCGATGCCAAGAAGAAAGAGGAAAATGATAAAGAATTACAGAGAGACAAGAGAGGTGACTATAACAGTGAAGACAGTTAAGCACAAAGCATAGTTAACCAGGGTTCGACCTTAACTTTTTTTTTTCACTATTCAGCCGGGCTACTGAAACAGACTCTTAACTAGCCCGTGGGCATTTTCACCAGTCCACATGTTTTTTTTTAATAGAGTGTCGCATAAACAACGATGTACTTACATGTAAAACATATATCCTGAGGCAATCTTGTCAGTGTTTTTAATAAACAGATCCCATTTGTGCCATGTGTTCAAGCAGCAGCAGTTATTAGTAGGATGAATGTGCGTATGCAAACAAAAGTGACCCAATCTGATGAAGTGTTTAATTATTATTATTTGCATATGAAGATGGTGATTGATTGAAACAAACAAGAAGTTCGAATGTGAATTATAAAAAAAAAAAAAAGGAATAGGAATAGTTTGACTAGCCCGCTGCAGTTTTGACTAGCATTTGGCTTGCAGGGTTACTGCTAAAGTCAAACCCTGAAAACTGTAGATCAACTAACTCAATTCGAACCCTTGCTAGCCTGAATTGTTAACTGTAATGGGCCAGGTATTTTCGCAAGGACTTCCAAAATTGTGCAGGAAGATAAGGGCACATTCTTTGCACTTTCCACGGGGCATTGAGTAATGTAATGGCAGCTGGGATCTACCTGCCACAATCCTGCAATATCTTTTAAAATCTACTCAGTGGATTTTGAAGAATCCGGGACTATTAGAGTAAATGGTGACTTTGTGCCTTGACACAAGTAGTTATGGGCTCTGTGCAGAAGTACCCCCTCAACGGTAAAAAAGGGAGAGTTGGGGGAGACCACTGGGAGAGACAATCGAATGCATTGCCTTTGGCACCTGATGCCCAGGCGAAGTTATATGACTTTGTCTACATTCAGTGTGTCTTGGTCCCCTGGGCTCTTGAAAGAGGTCACAAAGCGCCCTCTCTTGTTTGCGCACGGAGCCCATAATGGTATCTGTCTTTGTAATTGAATCGTTATTTCCTCTTGTCATGTTGTGTCTTTCAGATGTTGGAGTGGAGGCCCCTCTCAGAGCGAGTATGAGAACTCCAGAAGCCGAGAGAAATGGAGCCCGATCACAGACAGATGCCCAATCACGGACAGATGCCCAATCACGGGCAGATGATCCAAAACACAGTGTCAGCTTGGCCATACCAGGCCCAGAATCACAAAGTGCAGACCCTGCTGAATTCTCCAGTGAGTTGGACTTCGTTGTTTGGCATGATCAGATGTTATCAAATTTTAGCCATGTGAGCAAAACTTGACATCAACAGGGATTGGTATCGTTAACAACGTTTCATGAGTATTGATCAACTTCCATGTACAGCAGAGTGTTCTGATAACATCTGGTAGAAAAAAAAGGCATGTTGTGCACTGTTGATGCACTGAATTTGAATTATTTTATTTGCTGTTTGAAATCTCGCTGAACTTCAATTTTGTTCTATTGCTTTACATGCAGGCATTGATTTCCACCTGAGCCTCCCTACACAGGGGGGATTAAGGCCCGCTGGGGGCGTGACGTTGCCCTCCTTGGCTCACCGCCAGAAGGAACGGTCGTCATCCCGTCAGCCAATCAGACACAGCACGCCCATCATGGATGAGAGCCCAGATAGGCAGCAGGGTCAGCAAACGGCTGCCACATCAACCACTGCACAGGTATGTGCCGTGATACAATACGTATCAAGATACATACCTCATGATACAATTAACAATTGTTCAATGGTGTGATGTTGGATATGACGTTTTGAACACCCGAGGGGTGCATATGGTGCTATGCATCCCTTGGGTGTTCAAAATGTCATATCCCATATCACACCAATCAACAATTGTTTTGTTATAACTCTGTCTTGAATTCTTTGGATATTGATTTAAAAATCATGAAAACAAACATCAGTAAACACAACAATCATGACAATCGAGCGTCAACTCACATGCATGTCGCGTGCTCGAAACAGCTGATCGTCTGCTAGTTCGCTGCTCCCACTCATGTGTGAAAGCATGGTGAAAATAGCGTGGGTACCAACGATATAAGCGTTTCACACTGTACGTACAAAGTCATATTACGTGATATGATATCCCACAGGGAGTGTGCCATGACTTTTTATAAACTTAAAACGTGATCGTCCTAGGCCAATGAAAATACAGTATTCAAGACAGAGGTGTAACAATGCGTATTTTGATTTTCGTAAAAGATGTAGTATTCGTAAAAGATGTAGTGTTCTTGTTGTGTTTGTTATGTTTAAATTGGTGCTGACAATTTGCCAATGTCTTTGTTCTGGGTCAATAGCCAGAAGTCATGAAACTGAAACATACCATATGCGAAGGGAGTATTCCCAAATTCATAATGCTTTAGTTTCTCTTGTGTGTCCTTTCCAAAGTTTTGATACTTACTGTTTTGTCCACTAGGTTGATGCCCCAAAGCTAATACGGTCAAGCACCCTGACTCTCGGTGCAGATATAGAGCCAGAGACCCAGGATGGTTCAGAGACACCAGTCTTTCAGCTGGAACGTAAGTAATGTGGTGATGTAATTTCCTCATTCTGAATTATGGACAAGTTGTGTATAAAAGTGCAAATATGATTACAAGTTTGCTCATACAGTCCAAAATTCATTTGTCGATTTTTTTGTAGCTTCAGCAGATCATTGTTGGGATTCTTGTGCAACGTCAATCAGTGTCTCCTGGTCCATTTGTTGTTATCAGCTATGCATGTCAGACATATCTGTTGGTTGCAACAAGACCCATGAAAATCCTTTTCTTAGATGCCAGACTTTTTGTAATTGATTGTGTTGGCCTTTGAGAATCCCTTTTTTTATTTTTATTTTTGTTTCTTTAGGACCTTCTGATGCTGCACAGCTCTTGAAAGCAGCTCATGAGAGCCCTAGTAAAAAGTCCACATCAGTCTTCTCCAAGGTGCACGAAACCAAGATGGCTGCTAGCCAGATAAAGGTCAAAGGTCAAGCATCGAGGAATGGAAGAGTGAAGTACAGTGAAAGGTAGGAGGATTTAAGTTTGTTTTTAGAAAATATCGATTAACTGTGTTAATTTAATAAAAGTATAACTAATTCATTCTGGAAGTTTATGGTATTTAGGCTCTGAAATAATTCTTTTAATTTGTGAAAAAAAAATTCAAATCCGAGCATGGAAAGAAGATGTGATATTAGATGTTTGAACCAACTGTTTTCTACTTGGTTCCAGCGATGACCCTTTCGCCTTGTCTCAAGAACACCCTCGTACAGCAAGCCGGCATCCCCAAGAACCTGAATTGTCTGAACAACAGAAACAGGCCGAGGTTGAAGATGAGGATGAGGAAACTATTCCTGTCTACTACCAGGAGGAGGAACTTGAAGACACAAGTGGGAAAACTGGGAGAAAAGAGGAGACGGGTAAACGGATGACAGGAGGCAGGGAGACACTGACAGCCGAGCCGGAGGGTCAATCTGAAAAGGGTCGCAAGAAGGCTAGAGAAAAGACACCAGAAAAGAGGCAACAGGAATCGGAGATGCCAGCCCTAAGCAGTCGGTTAACAAGAAGCGGTCAGAAGAGGAAACTGCAGGAAGATAGACCGGAGGACAGGAAGGGAAGGAGAGGAGGATCAGCTAAGAAGAAGAGGCTTGAAGAAGCTGAGCAGAGGGGACTGAGAGAGAGGCCTCCTGGTCCCAGGGATCCATATGATTTTTCGGACTCCCAGTCCAACAAGACTCCCTCTCCGATGAAGAAGGATTCTCGGGCTGCTGGGTCGAAGCCACCACCCTCCAGAGATCCAACAACTCCACTACCACAACTCAAAACACATCTTACGAAACATGCTGCTGCTGCACCACAAACTACTAGGAGTGCAACAACACCAGGATCGACAACTCGCGAGACACCAAAACGACAGAAAAGGGACAAAGGAAAAGAAGCCCCCACTCCAGGAGAGGAGAAGACTCCTCCTGTTCAAGAAATCTTGGAAGCATCTGGACTGGCAAGCAGGACGACTCCCAAGAGAGGGAGTCTTCCTGGCTCAAAAACAGGGCCCATCGTCAAGACGTCTTCAACACGTGGGAGACGGCCGGGGTCAGGTCGGCAACGGCTGGCCTCTCAGCAAGTCCTTCAGGCCCAGCAAGATGATTCTTCCCCGGACTTCCAACCAGATCAGCCTAGGGAGAAGAAAGGGGTCAAGTTCAGGAGGTCACCGCGTAAAAAGCAATCTCAGAAAGAAGAGAAACCAGTAAGAAATAATCGAAAAGTTAACAAGTGATAGGACTGGTAATACCCGGTAGTGATAATACTGGTAAAAGTCTTAACGTGGGAGAAATGTTGGAGATAAATTGGCATATGAACTGTGGAATAGTCATTTACAGCCAATACAACAAGGAATGCCTGATCTTTTCATTTTTGTGCAGATTTTAGACATACTTCTAGTTTGTTTGAAAGGATTGACAGCTGCCCGTCATTTTATTTGTATCAACTGCAGGCTGCCAGTGATCCTCCCCTTCCACGCCGGCACATCGTCCGGCAAACTACGGAGTACCGGCTCATACACGAGAAAATCATCGTGGACGGGAAAGTGATCAAGACCTGGGAAACACGGGTAAGTTAACCTCCACAGGTGTGTTTAAAACTTCTCCCTTATATTTATTACCAGCAGGTGTAATTCTCAGGTTTGCCAACTATGTTGCTGGGGCTCGTGGTCTCATGCATGGAACTGGAGATGTTGTGGGTAATTCTGCTGATGGTGGGTTCGAGTCCAGCCTGAGATTGTGATGCATGTGTCCTTGGGCAAGTCAGGTTCTTTCCCCGCCTTCCATTACTGTGACCCGGGTTCGAATCCCGCCTGTGCCAATATGTGGATTGGGTTTTCAGTCCCTGCCTGATTCTGTGGGTTTTCCTCAGAATATTCTTCTGGGGTTTTCCTCCCACCTCTAAAACTGTCATTACTTCTCATTGTCTACTCTCTACAGGTTTCTTCAGGCTTGCGAGCTACAGTGCCTAGGGCGCTTTTGAGGAATCCTTGGTTTCATTACCAGAAATAATTAATAATAGTAATAATAAAAGACACTTGGTCACTCATTGCTTCTCCCCACCTAGGAGTAATCGGGTACCTGTGAGGGCAGATAGAGGTAGTTGTTATGTTTGATTGAGCTGTTTGAGCTGTTATGTTCTGTGTGTTTCCTTACCCCAAAGATTTTAAATCGTAAATCTTTTGATGTTTTCATGTAGGAACAAGTTGGACCCCTTGTTGAAACAGTAGAGGATGAGGATAGTCTGGATCTTCCCTCTCCGTCTCGTTCCATCAGCTCTCTGACCTCTGGATCTCTGGCTGATGTCAGCTCCATGTACTCCAAGACATCCAGCTCCACGCCTAGTCTGGTCAGGACCCTCAGCGGAAGTGGAGGGACACTGTCCAAGCACAGTAGCTTCTCGAGCATCTCCAGGACTGGCAGCTCCCTCAGCAAGCAGACTGTGAGCTCTCCAGGTTCAGACAAGAGCACCCCTAGCTTGAATAAGAGTCTGAGCTCCCCCGGCTCTGACAAAAGCCCTGGGAATGAAAGAAAAGCAGGTGGTGGTGTGCCGAGCCCAGGAGTGGCAGGTCCTTCAATTCCTAGAAGGGTTTCATTCACCAGAGGGACAAGTAAACCACCTTCCCTGACGAGAACTTCATCAGGCAGTGGAGATGAAATCCAGCATCAGCCAGATCAAGATCCTACAGCAGTTTTTCAAAAACCATATCAGACTCCAAGACGGAAGGTAGATCATCAACAGGGCGATGGTTTTGCACAGAGGTTGTCCTTACAAGATGCTGGAGAGGCCAAGACTCCAGAGGAGGTTGTAACTCATGAAAGACTTATACCTGCCTCAGAGGTTGCTGAACTTGTGCAGCTGTCACAGGAGAGTGTCCCTGTGAAGGAAACAGGCAGAGAGGATAGATCCCCTGGCAGGAGTACTGAAATGAAACTATCGCGGAGGCAAACAAAGGACAAAACAGCCATCTCCTCCTCATCACCCCATCCCCCGTCTTCTCCATCTGGAAGAAGATCTTCCAGGGCATCATCGGTCCAATCTGAGCAGGATACCAGCGACAGGAGATCCATCCCAAGGACATGCTCAACACCTGCAAGAGTTACAGCCCCTGTCACCAGATCGCCATCTGCCAGTTCGGGCGAGGAAGTCCAGAGGTCAACAAGGAGGTCAGAGGGTAAGGGTCAAGACTCGGTGGCTGCAACCTCTGGAGTTGGCAAGTTGTCCCTTGGAGGATCCAAGAAGACATCAGTTGAGCAACCAACACCTGAACATTCCCCTCGAGAGGAGCCACAACTGGAGCCTCAGATACTACAAACAAGAAGGGAATCTCTTGCCAGTGCACCAAGTAAAGAAGATGTACAGCAGGCCACCGGGGAGAAAATGGATGTACAAGATGATCCTAGAATGTCACCTGACCCAGAAAGAGGTACACCAAGATCATCCAGAGGCAAAGGTACCGCAATCAGCCTTTCTGCTTTTACACATTGTTAAATCTACAAATGGTTGCAATTTTGGTTGAAGTGACATTATTTTGAGATGAATGACCAGAAAATCTGTAACTTTATAACAATTTTCACGTGCTCATAAGATGGAATTTTTGCGTTGGGGTGATGTAAATCACAATTTTCAAGTGCATATTTATCAATACTGTCTGCATGAGATACTTCTCGGCAAGAATTAACTTCACTCTTAAAATATGTGAGTAAATTTGGACTTTTGTAGATGCTGGACAGCTAAGTTTGCAGTTCAGCATTTAGAAAGTTAAGATTTGAATCTTGTTCCAGTTTATAATTTTCTGTGTTTAAACCAAAAATGGAAATGTAAATGTCTTTTTGTAAATTTGTTTGCTTTATTCAGCAAGAGGCACCACAAAGAAGAGAGCACCATCCCCAGCAAGCCTAGGGAGGCCCTCCACCCCTCCACAGCAGTTGACCAAGCCACTAACCTCTGACCCCTCATCTTCCTTCCCCCGGGACACACTGTTTGAACCTCCAGCAGGTGAGACTCTACCAATAGCTGAGGGGGAGGTTGCTCTGCTTCTCCCTGGGCTGAAGGTTTACACCAAGTGGCTGGATGGCTTCTGGTATCCAGGCACGATTCACCATCAGGATAAGCTGTCAAGGTGAGGATGGATTTCAACAAGCTCAAAATGATTTCGGAAGCTGCGGCCCAACTATAGAGCCTATAAGGCATGTACATGTGGAAAAGTCTGTTCTTATAATGCACAGCTACTCACGTGGTTGGCCTGTCAGTTGAAAAGGATTCCCAATATTTTGTTTAACGTCAGTTGGTGCATGGAGTGTTTTATAGCATGCGGAACACCCAATTTGTGTGCAGTACAGTGCTAGCCCCAATGCGAAATGAGTGACCTAGTGACCCAATTTTTCACGACTGCAATAAAGTGGTAGCTGGTCAGCGGAGACCTGAAGCATGTGTTATTGCAGAGGGACAAGGTGATTGATTGCCAAAAAAAGGCATTTGCTGAAGTTTGTTAGTAACCAACGGAGAGACGCAATCATTTCTTTAGCTGTTTCTGCGCCTAAAAATTTGGAGGGTATAATTTCAATTGGAGCTGGTCAGCAGAGAAATATTTTGGTGAAAACAAAATGAAAGCAGCTTTGCTTGTACCCTTTTGCTGCTGTTGTTTAATCTATAGGAGTCTGTCTCATAAATATTACAGACACACTGCTGCACTTATGCAGTTTAGCATATCCATCCTATATTAAAGGATCCTTGGTTGTCTGTCAGTGTGTCACGTTTTTTGTAAAAGGCCTGAGGAGTGTGCGGGAGTGCAAAATGCAAGGTTTAAAGGAGAGGTATCCAGTGTATGCAGGTCCTGTGCTTTGATTTCATTTGCTTTTTGGCAAATTTCTTTCTTTGCACTTTGAATAGTGAAATCTTACAATATTCTCTCTTTGAAAACATTCCAAAACATATTGCTTTAACGCAAAACCTAGCGTTGATGATGAAAAATGTGGCAACATTTTTTCACCAAGGTTTACCAAGCCCACTTGGGGTCAACATGCAAATTGAGGTCAAAGTACTACATTAGTATATAATCCTTTAACTGTCGATCGTACGGATTTGTACGATATGAATATGCATTTCGAAACTTAACTGTGTAATGAACCCCTTTACAAAAATATGTCAATTGAGGGCTTTAGGACTCCACCTTCGCGCGGCACCCCCGCTAGTTTTAGCAAACAAATATTGCATTTAATACTGTATTCAAAGTTGGCATGGACAAAATAAGTGTCAATTTTTGACAACCATAGGGAGACGCAAATCCAAACAGGCTGGCACGTATTAAACCTGATCAGCACATTTTGAATATTCGGATAATTGATCAAGTGTAAGTTAGAATAATCAAATACCTAATTTTTTTTGGGACAAATGCACAGCCCTGTGGGTAACAAAAGTTTATTGTATGATCAGATTTGTGATAGAGTTTGATGACGGGGATCACCGCACAGTCAACGAACGTGACATCATCATCAAGGAGTGGCTGAACAGAGGTCAAAGTGTCATGGCTGAAGATGCTGACGGCTACTACTATGCAGGTACTTGCTTGTGACCTGGGCCCAATTTCATAGAGCTGCTTAAGCACAAAATTTGCTTAAGCACGAAAAAACATTGCTTAGTAAAATCACATTACCGGCCAAAACTCCATGTGATGTACATTGCTTGTGACTGGTATTTAGTTGTTGTTTACTTAGCATAACAATCGCATGGAGTTTTGGTGGGTAACCTGATTTTATTAAGCAAAACTTTTTTGTGCTTAAGCAAATTTTGTGCTTAAGCAGCTCTATGAAATTGGCCCCTGTCTTGTGATGTGACTTGTGATTGACTTGTAATTTGCAACTCTTGAATCATCTAAACTGTAAACTTTGCCTGCAGGTACTCACTTTGGCAGCCCCTCACTAGGATACAGTGATTCAAAGCTCGGTGACCCTTGACTGGAGTTATCACATCCAATTGATATTGAGCTGCTGGGCATATATTTCATCAGTTAAAGTTAATATTTTTAATGTCTTTGTGCAGGCATCGTGGTAGGATATTACAAAGACCCGGATGCAAATACCAGCGGGTATGTCATAGAGCAGACAATCTCCCATGAAACGTCCAGGTGAGTTAGTTGTCTGTTGGGCTGCTTATGTCTCAAATAGTTAAGAGTCTTTGACTAACTACCTGGGCTATTGGTGATTTTGTTATTGATTTTTTTTATTATTTTGATCATCAACAATGGTCTGAGGGATTGAATAATGTACCTTTTGTTGGGCACTATAGCTGCTAGATGATATTGATTTTAATGTTTATTTTTTGTCCCCGGCTAATTGTAAGGTACATTTTTGACGCTCAATTTCAAGCAATTTTTATGCTCTCCGTTTTTAAAATAACGTTTCATGCTGTGCAATGTTAAATATAGGCTACACGCATGTATTTGTTTTTATCAGTTTCAATTTTAATGTTCAAGTTATGTTTTTATTGTATTATTAATCCTACTGGGACCCATGGGAGATCAGTTCTGATAAAAGGACTGAATGGGCCACCCAGTATAAAGAAGAAATAAAAAAAATAAATATGAGATTGTTTGATTGCAATTTCCATTTGAAATTTGTTGGAATTTATGGCATATTCTTCATGGCTAAGGCAGTGTATGAATCACTTGGCTACGGCCAGAAATAACACGCGAACCTATGGAAGCCACTGGCTAGCGGCTGCAGCCACTTTTCATAGACTCAATTTTGGACATCAAAGGGCCAAATTAAATGAAACAATTGTCCCAGGCAATCTTGAGGTTGCTGAATACATTGCAAGGTAAATGAGGCAACTGGAAAAACGAAGTATACTTCTCTGACGGTTTGTGGAAATTGCTCAGAAAAGTCTCACTTAAATGAAAGTTTGGCAACCTTTCTCTTTGTAGAGCTTGCCCTGAAGTGTATGTCTGTACATTGTCTATTGAGAAATGGTCCATAGTTTCCAAAAAAAAAGTGATAATATTAGTTATTCCACGAGTGCGAGTGGAACACGGTATAATGTAATGCGTCTGTGTCCCACATGGGGCTGGAGGCCGAAGGCTGTTTGGTATGTGGGACGCAGAAGCACTTCTCTTTCCGTGTGCCACGAGTCCGAGTGGGAAAACACAATTATCTTCAAGCAAACTTGAGGCACAGTTAGTTATGGTGCAAAACAAACCATGTGCTGTACACTGGTTTTCCTACTACACCTTTCTGCGGCAGGAATGGCGTGGGCATCTTAGAATAGCGTGATAAGCGGACCGTGCTACATGGGCTTATGTAGCATAGTGTGTTGCCATGGATCGATCAATCAGCATCGAGGATTCAAGTTTACTTGAAGATAAACCTTAATATCTTCTCCTGGAAAAAAAGAGAGTAAAATCTGGGCTTGTTAAAAAGATGTTCTAGTGTGGAATATCCAATGTTATAAACAGTAACTCCCATTCCACACTTTTCTAATAGCTAACTCATTGTCTTCTGCACTTAGACATGCATAATATGGTGAAGAAGTTCGGCATTTAACAGTCTTTGAGCCAATAAAGGTCTAAAAGGCCTCCATCTCAAGGCTTTTGCCAAAATTGAAGTGTGTTTTTTGCATCATTTTTCAATTCAACATTAGATATGAGAGACGTCATGTGATTCTGACCAAGGACCAAGCAGCTACTCTAGTCAGCAGTGCTAGTAGCAGCAGCAGCACCAGCGGCGGCAATCTCATCAGTCTAGGTGAGAGTTTGGTGTTTTTAGTCATGATTTTCCCATCAACAATGCTCATAATCAGGGCTGGAGTCAATTTCGTGAAGTAATCCCTGTTTGCTATTTCCCAGGTTTGCAGCATTGCCAGTGTTGCTAGCATCATGACATTGGGTGTGATCCCTGGCTCAGGGGTGTGAAACCTCAGCTTTAAAGCTGATTTCAGCTTTTTTTGTTTTGGATTTCAGTTTTTTTCAGCATTTTCCCTGACTTGCTGTGTACAAAAGTATAGGTGAATTCCTAAGTTCGGCTTTTTTTACACCTTTTTCAGCTGTTTTCAGCTATTTTTATCAGCGGTCACTCACACCCCTGCTGGCTGTGTTGCATACGGACTAATGGCTTCTGACTAGCGCGCCTTGAACAAAGACCTTGACAAAATGGGGAACTGCTAACATAGAGCTGGATAGCTCACTTGGTAGAGCACCAGAACGGCAATCCGGTTGTTCCAACCCGCTCCAGTTAATTTCTTTGTTCAACTTTAAAAAAATAATGAAATTATGATGGATAACATATCGTAACTATAAATGATTTCAGGAAACTTACAATTTGTTAAATGTGTTCATACTGTCCTGGCAACTCATCTGAGTTACGATGAGTTTTTTGGTCTTTGTAACCTACTAATGTCCTTGAGAAACTTCTCAAAGCGCATCCAGTAGTATGATGATTTGATTTGATGAAATGTGTGGAAAATGGAATCAACTACAAAAAGTAGAAGTGATTTCAAACATAGTCTTTTTTTAACAGAGTTTTGTTCCCTTGTGCACTGACTTTATCTGATGTGAATGTGAACAAACCCATGTAGCAAATTGACTTTGCCACCTGGCAATGATATGCAAGTGTCTGTTTGAGGGGAACTTGAGAATGGAATCCCTACTTTTCAAGTAGTCATTCTCTCAGTGTTTGTCGATTGGATCCGACAAGCTTAACCAACTTGTTTTTCTAAATATCTTTCAACACCATCTACTGCCAGACAACATCGTGTACAGCAAGCGCACCAGGCTTCGCTCCCGCCTCCTGGAGAGCCCAAGCAGTGGCGGATTGGAGAAATCGCCACGGCAACCACAGAAGACGACCCCGTCACGTCAGGGAGTCAAGCGGAAGCTGGCACCATTAGAGGAGCAGAAGATAGAGACTCCATCGCCAAGGAAACGAGGCAGACCTGCTGCTCAAGGTGAGTAGAGCTGTGAAGTAAAAGAAATTCACTAAGAACATGAAATGTCATGCCAATGACATACTAAGTGATATGTCACTATAAAGGGATGAGTTTGCTACTTCTTATGCATATATAAACTAGTTGGTGAAAATATGTCCTTAACCAGTTCGTGCTGGGATTATTTTTGCCGAAAATTAAAAAGGCAAAATATAGCAGCCAACTTCTGATATACAGCCAAAAGCCACAAATACTGATTCGCAAGAGTCATTTCAACAGTGTTTATACAATATTTCTTGCCGAAACCTCATATTGTTCAACACTCCAGGTGTGCAACGGAGCGTAAATTGTAGAACAATAGGCTGTGTGGAGCGGCCACTTCAAGATCAACACACGGCCCGCCTCCACTGATTTCAAGGACTTTGTGTGTGTGTAAAAAAGACACAAGGGATTTGCTTGTTTAGAAGTCACCCTGAGGCGAGTCGAGGCAATCTTGACGTTTTAACCCGTCAGCTGTGCCTGTGTATAAAAACAGCCAGTGTGTGTGTTAACACGGCCTCCGACACGAACTGATTAAAGGCATATACAATATAGGATCATTTGCATTAACCAACCGAATTATTATCAAAAAGAAAAGCTTACTTGGATTAAAGATCATACCGGTACTGAACACCTCGTGAAATTATTCCGTCTGGCTTGCTGCCATTTAAAAGAAATCATGAAAAGTAGTTGATTTCCAATGATCAGTTAATATACTGATTTTTGACAACACAGAGTGATATGGACGAAATTGTGTTTTGTGATTAAAAGGTTGTGCATGGTTTTCACTGTTATTTCATGGTTTTCACTCGAAAAGTGTAATATCCGCTGAGCTAAAACTATAAAAGGTGAGGTTTTGAACATTTTTCTTTGGATTTTGAGTGGTGTTATTGGAGACGAACAACATGCATGTAAAGCAAATGATTCCGCCTTTAACTCGTAGAGTTAGAAATTAATTGTTGGAATCTGTACTATATGTGGTGACGTCTCCAGCGGGTGCTGGTTTGAGCTAATACATTTCTTCTAAATGATAGCAAGCTATGTGATTTGAAAGAAAGAAGTATATGATGCAGTCTGTTGATGTGATACTTGGTTCTTCTTTTTCTATTTAGCAGCTGCAGTCACCCCAAGTCCTGAACCCGGCACCAGTCCCCGCCGCTCACCACGCAAGCGCCAACAGCAGCAGCAGCAATCGCACACAGAGGAGGCCCACCCCATGGCCGCCCACATGGGCCCCGTACCCAAGCAAGCCACTCTGTTCCGCAACCACGCTTTTCTGGTGACGCATGGAGAGGTGAAGAAGTCCCCACCGAAAGAAAAGACGTCGTCATCAGAGTCAATGGATGAAAGCAGCGGAGAAGGGCCAGGTAAAGTTTTGTGGTTATCCATGTAATCAGGCCCATTCTCTAAATTGTCATAATTTCCTACAAATCTTGATAATTTCCTGTAACTGATTCGAAGCGAATCAGTATTGCGGTTAAGTCCAAAGTCGAGTCACAGGTAAATTATATATTAATTTGCATGTCCAGTTAAAAGTAACAGGGGATTAGCAATAACAAAGGAATGCCTTCGTCACTCTTCATTTGAAGAGATTTTGACTTGACTTAGGACTGGATGTGGTGTGATGGAATTGTTAGGACTTGTTAGGACTTGTTATGAACTCAACTGCAACGTTCTATGCTGAAAGCTTGGTACTTCCCCTAGCAGTGGGAATAATGTCTGTGAATTGACAGTCATGGTAAATTATCAAATAGTTTCAAGCGCAAAATAATACATTCGAGAAATTGTAGCTTCAAAAAGATTTTCTTTACTGTTGAGTCATAAGAGTAAAGCAGAGATGTTTCGCATGTTCTTAATTTTACTCCGGATTCTGTTATTTAAGCGGTGTGTTAGTTTGTGTAATCTGTGCATGCAAGGTTCTTTATGTTTTGGCAAATTTAAAGTCAGTTTCAAGAACCATCTTTTGTCCCATTATTTAACATAGTATCTTTCTATTTCTCTGTCATGACCAGCTCCTTCTTCCCTCGTAGCAGTTTATTTAGTCTTTGACCCCTATTGTATGTTTGTTCTTTTGTCTGTTGCTTAGTTATTGTTTGTGTATGTTTGTACTAGCCATTGGTTTCTCAGTCTATCTTTAAGTTCTTTGAATATATCAGAATTGTTGTTTTCTTCAGTTTTTGCATTTATGTATGGCATTGCCCCCATAAGCTTGAGCTTTTTAAAAATCATGCCTCCATCTTTATATGACAACTTATTATTCTCATGGTTATTTTTTGTTCTTTTACCTTGCTTTTGGTAGAAATTAAATGTTATTAATTGAAAAATTGTTCAAGTTTCAGCGCTGCTTGTTTTTACGTGTTTGTGAGCTAAAGTGGTTGCACAGTGTGTTGAGAATCTGCATACTTACTGTTTGCTCATTCGATTTCTTGACTGTAAAATCCGTTGTCATTTGTGATACAGATGAAATAGAGACGGTACCTTTCGTCCGGTCCTATGCTGTGCAGCAGATTGAGCATGGGGGTGGGCTGGTCCTGTCTGACTTCAACAAATCACAGGTCAGTAATTCAAACTCCAAAATATAGCAGGGATCTTATTCTTAAACTGGGAACTGTGTTCACATCACTGCAAATACATCACTGCAAATATGGAATGAGTATTGACACTGTGCACAAATGGTAGTATGGGAGGTTAAGTACACACTGAGTGTGTGCACACAAACGTGTGTTCACTGTCGATCATGGACATCCTATTGTCCCTCTTTTGTTTGTACTCTTTTTAAGAAGACTCCCATAGGTTTTGTACACGACCCCAATCGCGGACGTATGCTGGGAATCGTGGACGATATTGTTCTCTTTTGCTCTCTGGTATTTTTCGTCCACGGTTTGAAAAGATGAACTCTTACACACAAGACCATTGGTTCGTGTGCTAGTGCACAAACCGGAGATGTCTTCACATAGGCATATTACAAGTGTTTCTTTCCATTTTGATGTTAGCTGTCCCCAAATCTCTCTTTGTTATCTGTAAGGGGGTACTTGTGCCCAAAGTCCATTGAAGAAAATTCCATTTGTAGTAGAATTTAGGGCAATACTGTCCACTTTCAAAACAGGGCAATAGCCAGCCTGGTGGTAGGTGAGGGTTGTTTTTATTATGAAGTGGACCTCTTTATGTCTGATAAACAGTTGATTACGCATGGAAATACACATTTGAGTAAAACTCAAATGACAATCGCAAGGAAAAAGTTGACCTGCGGCCAAATTTTTCTATTTTTTGGGAGGGGGGGGGGGGGGAGAGGGGGTCGTCTGACCACCCCTTGCCTACGGGCCTGCAATATCTGTTTGTGATATTGGTTTGAAGTATGCTCTCAATATAGGATTTAATTACCTTGGTTGCAGTATTTATTTTGTTGGCTTATTGTCATATTCCTCTTACCACTGAGTTTATTCAGGAGGCTATAATTTGTATAAATGCCATTTGATCTTAACATACTTCTAATACGTCAAATTTCTCTACTTTTTTATCCAGAATTTTTGTTAATTTGTTTTAAGTCTGATTTGAAATAAAAATTTAAAAGTTTTGCGAATTCTTTCACCAGATTACAAAGATGAAGGTGTTGCTGATTGCCAACACGTATTGCCGGACCAAGAAATACTTCCAAGCCTTGGCTGCTGGGATTCCATGCATCTCCCATCTCTGGCTGAGAGATTGCTGCAAATCGGTAGGTCAATAAGGCGTCTGAAATCTGTAAACAAGGACAAAATATCATGGCACTACCAATCCAGTCATTTTCTGTTATTAGATCCTTTGTTTGTTTCACAGAGACTGTAAGCAGTAAAGCCCACCATGCTATTTTTTTGTGGTAGAATTTGCTTGAAATTGATGGAACAATAGTTATCTCAGGAGGCGGACAAACGTTACCACATGTACACTGTAAAATATGCTTCAGGTTAGCTCAGCCTTTCTGCTAGGTGTTAAGCACCAAGAGAAATGATATTATTGAAAGATGACAATGTCATAATTTTAAAAAATCTTGATTTTTCCTACCATACAAGTTACTGCTCCCCCTCAAATAAAAAACCCTACCTTTTCTCTACTTGTTTCTATGAATCTTGTTTTCGTAATGTGAAATGATTTTCAAATTGTTTAATACGTCCCCTCAAAAAATTGTACTATGCCCCTCTCTTGAACTTGAGATTTGCAAGGTTCTAGGTGGAACTGCAAAAGAATACAAAGTTAAATATGCTTTGCTTTGGTCTCACCAGCACATGTCTATATTACTTTTTCTGATGTTTGTGATTGTAACTATAACCCATTAGCACTTGTTCTACATTGTATTACATTGTGTTTATTCACTGAGGAATCCATAAAACCATAGAGTGATTGGTCAGTTTCAGGCACTACAGGGAGTAATACGTAGAGTGGTTTCAGGAGCTACTGTGATAAATGAGTTAATATTTACTTGATATCTTTGGAAAAGAAATGCACGTGCATACAAAAAACGATGTTTTCATTCATTGTTTGTTGTGTCTTGTTTTGTCTTCTTCAGGGAAGGTTGCAGAATCACAAGAGTTATTTGCTGCCAGCTGGAGAGAGTCTGGAAGAGAATGCACTCATGGAAATGTGAGACAGGAATTTTGGCATTATGAAAGAAGCAAACAAATAAAAAATAAAAACCAAGACAAAAATTTAAAAAACTTCAAAAAGTGTTTTTGAATGCAACGCAAACATTCAAAATGCAATGGTTAATCAGGTGTATTTCAAGAATATTGATGGTCTTCCCATTTTATTGAAAAAAAAAGTGTTGAAAAACATGATTAAATGAACTTGATATTGTATGAATTTTGAAAAGTTTCCCCGATTAGCTTCCACTTGTATGGTGAGAATTTTGTTTTAAAAAAACTAGATGAGCCCCATACGAAAGTTTGAAGCATTACTTGCTTCAATTATCTGATATATTAGTTATATGATATATGATATATTAGTTTCTTTTTCTTTGTTTTTTAACAATTTGCAGCCAGCCCAATCGCTCCATTCTTGCCGGCATGAATGTGTGTATGGTATCTGACCTCGAGGGTGTTCAGGACACATGGAGATCTATCCTGATTGCTGCCGGATGTCATATTGTTACCAGACTACCATCCAACCTGGAAGTAGCAAAAGATCCAAGTACATTCAAATTTCATCTTTCTTTTCTTTTTCTCTAATTTTATCTGTTATCTTTTTCATTTTTGTGGGCGAAGGGTACAAAAAGCTATAAATGCAACAGGGACCCCCTCAGAGAGCGCTGTGGTCCAGTGGTGACGGTTTGAACCCTGACGGGGAACATGGTGCTTGTGTTCTTGGGCAAGACACTTTACTACAATTGCCTCTCTCCACCCAGGAGTTTAAATGGGTACCTGTGAAGGTAGAGACCAGAATGCACTGATCTCGAGCTGCTGCAAAAGGGTCTCATGGCCTGATGAACAGGGATAATAATTGTGAAGTGCTTTGAGACCTTTGGTTAAGGCACTATATAAGCACCACATTATATTTATTATTATTAAAACATCAACCAAAAAAATTACACCCCTTTCATTGTTGAAGTCAAGCCCAACATAAGTCTGGTCAAATATAATCACAAGTCAATTCAAACGTCTGGTCACAGAAACATGGGATGGACATTTATAAAAAATTTGCCTTTGCCACGGTTCATTTGAATAGCTTGTGGCTTAAAGGTAATATACAACATTGGCAAACATCAAAAAACAAAACTACTAAATTATTATGAAAATGCCTTACTGGACTGTAAGTGAACAATAGTCTCAAGCATCCTGTGAAATCATGGCACCTGGTGTGCTGTCATTTTCAAGAAAAGTTGAATTCTTGTATCGATTCCAATGATGGCCGGCCACCAAATTTAGTTATTCCACATTTTGTTTGCAATCGGTTACACATCCGTGAATGGGTGCTAGTCTGCTTCCCTGACCTGACAATTCCCTGATGTCTATAAGTTGCTCTGTTTCGTCTGAAGCAGGGTCAGGGAACCAGACTACAAGAAAAACATTCTTTTTCTTGGCTTTTCCAGCATCTATGAACACAAAACTTTAAACAGGTCAATGTAACAATATTTTCTATAAAATACTACCCCAATTTAAATTCATTTCTGAAAATTACAGCAAAAGGGAATGTTGTATATTGCCTTCAAGTTGGGACTAGGCGAGTAGTGATTGACTTGTGATTGACCTGTGATGGACTTGTGAGGACTGAAGAGAATGTATCATGGCTATTGATGGACTTGAACACATCTCTGCAAACCCATAGTCTTCTCCATGATTGTTGAGCTACTAAACCTGTTTGGTCCATTTTTAGAGCCCACACAATTCCTGGTGCTTCAAACCCCTCATCTCCCCTTTTTTATGCCCCGCGGCGAAGCCGAAGGGGCATACTGTTTCCGCCTTGTCCTTCCGTGGGTGGGTGGGTGGGTGGGTGGGTGGGTGGGTGTGTTCCTGCATGGCATTACGCCTGAGGACAGACAACAAAAGGAGCACAAAGGGGCCATTGATCCTCGAAGGAAGGTGCCTATTGTCCTCGAATGCAGGTTTGTGATTAGTCTATGGGAGAGTGTTATATTACAGGGACAAAGGAAAACACAAAGCCAATCCTCGGAAGCATAGCAAAAAACGACTGGGTGTGGGTGTGTGTGTGGCAGTGTTGTAGTCGAGACCGGATAGTCCGAGACCGAGACCAAGACCGAGACCTGAAGATTCGAGACCGAGACCGAGACCGAGACCAGCCCCTTCAAGGCGGACCGAGACCGAGACCAATATGGTCCGAGACCTAGACCGAGACCGAGACCGCTGATAATAAATAACAATAGTCGAAATAAAAAAACAAGACACGTTTATAGTTGAAAGTTGTAACCTTTCTATTCACAAAGATTACAGACCAAAATTTTGACCAGTGGCAGTGTTGACAAATTGATACATGACACCTTACTTGAGCAAAAAGTAGTTACACTTAAGAAATATGGGCTTTGACATGTGTCTGCACCCAATCGTGACAAAAGTAAAAAGTTAAAGGCAGATGTTTCATCTGTTATAGGAACTCGGATCCTAAACTCCAAGTCGCCCCTTGATTTCAGCTATGACTTCTAACGGATATTTAAAGATGCAATTTTAATTTTACATTGTGCCTTTTTTTTCCTAAAATAAATATAGGACTTAACTTCTAACAAGACTTGTGTACTTGATTTTAAAAAATGGGAGCTAGAAAATGTTGAATTAATTTTAAAATTTCTGTCATAGAATGTGGACTTGTACATGTAGACCCACAAGTTGCGAGGTGGTAGCCAGAATGTGCCAGATATGGATTTTAATTTTTTTCTGAACGGGATTTTAATTTTTGAGGAATAATGGGGTACTTCAAAATGAGCAGCCAGAAAATGGGGTCTCATCATACACTCTCATGGCAACAGCGAGTGGTAACTGGTAAGAGTGTGTGAGTTCAATGCTGGAAAATCAGGTAGGAAAATTTAGTTTTTCTTCAAAATACTGTCCCAAATTAACGAGAACATTGTGTGGGGTCGAAAAGATAATTAATTTGAAGCACCTCATTTATTATCAGAATACAAAATGCAAGTGATTACGCCCACAGGGGTGGGCTAAACTACACAATCCCCAAAAATGGCAGGCCCTTATTGCATAAATTGTTACAAGTTTATACTTTGCTTTATGTGCACGACACAACAGATAAATGCCGAACTTGTTCCAAATCGTTCAGTGACTGGTACTGCTGCAGCTTTACTTTTGGGACTTTCCAACGTGCAGTCGAGTCCAAACCGACCACGATATATAACAAGCTTGATCTACGTGCTAGCAAATGTTTTAACTCAACGGTACTGAACGAAGTGAACACAAAGTAATCGATCGAGCTGTAAAAGCTACATATTGCCGGTCTCGACCCGAGACCAGCCAAAATATCGAGACCAAAGGGGACCGAGACCGAGACCAAGACCGAGACCACAGCTTCCGAGACCGAGACCGAGACCGAGACCAGCAAAAAGTGGTCTCGAGACCGGTCTCGAGACCGAGACCGGTCTCGAGACCTACAACATGGGTGTGTGGGTGGGTGTGTGGGTGTGTGTGTCCGGACAAATCTTGTCAGCGCGATAACTTGAGAAATACTTTACATATGAACTTCAAATTTGGTTTGTGGATTGTCCTTGGTAATCCTAAGAAGCCTTTTGCATTTGGGGCCGAAAGGTCAAGGGTCAAGGTCACAGTGGCTGAAACAATAGAAATTTTGTCAGCGCGATAACTTGAGAAATACTTTACATATGAACTTCAAATTTGGTTTGTGGATTGTCCTTGGCAATTCTAAGAAGCCTTTTGCATTTGGGGCCAAAAGGTCAAGGGTCAAGGTCACAGTGGCTGAAACAATAGAAATTTTGTCAGCGCGATAACTTGAGAAATACTTTACATATGAACTTCAAATTTGGTTTGTGGATTGTCCTTGGTAATCCTAAGAAGCCTTTTGCATTTGGGGCCAAAAGGTCAAGGGTCAAGGTCACAGTGGCTGAAACAATAGAAATTTTGTCAGCGCGATAACTTGAGAAATACTTTACATATGAACTTCAAATTTGGTTTGTGGATTGTCCTTGGTAATCCTAAGAAGCCTTTTGCATTTGGGGCCGAAAGGTCAAGGGTCAAGGTCACAGTGGCTGAAACAATAGAAATTTTGTCAGCGCGATAACTTGAGAAATACTTTACATATGAACTTCAAATTTGGTTTGTGGATTGTCCTTGGCAATTCTAAGAAGCCTTTTGCATTTGGGGCCAAAAGGTCAAGGGTCAAGGTCACAGTGGCTGAAACAATAGAAATTTTGTCAGCGCGATAACTTGAGAAATACTTTACATATGAATTTCAAATTTGGTTTGTGGATTGTCCTTGGCAATCCTAAGAAGCCTATCGCATTGGGGGTCGAAAGGTCAAGGGTCAAGGTCACAGTGGCTAAAACAATAAAAATCTTGTATTTATTCTGAGATCATAGGGATTAGGGATTAATTCATATAAAACCTACAGAAGACACTAATGCTGTCAATGAACGTTCCATTTGACCAAGGTACATGTAAGTTGATGTTAGAGTGGTGTTATGTCATGGAAACAGTCACGGTTGCGGGGCATTTGTGTTTGTAAACACACCTGACTTGTTCTTTCCTTTTTTTGCCAGCAGGTTTGTCTCCGGACTGCAACATGATCGTGACCGATCCTTCCTGCCCCCGCTCCCTCCTCCACCGCGCCCAACGCCTCGGCATCCCTGTGGTGTCCTGCGAGTGGGTCATGCAGTGCCTCATTAACGGAGTCAGGGTGCCGCACCACAGTCACAAAAAATATGCCTGGGACTATCGCGACAAGCCCACCAAGTGAATTTGCAGCGCCATGCAGCCAAACAATAATAGCTATCGGATCAAATGTTTTCTAATTCGCGGCTTCAGCTCCAGTCTTTTGTCTTATAGTTAGAACACTTAATATTTTCTGATGCTAATGTCAATAAAACAAAATGAGTCAAGTCTCTGATGGTCTAAATTTGATCTTGGACAGTCACTCAACAGCTGTGGAATTTTGATACAACTAGGCACCACTCCAATGTTACAGACTGAAGATCATGTGCAGCAATTTAGAACTCAAAGTGGGTGCTATTCTGTAGCAAGAAGTTGTTGCAAGAGCGCCACTGTGGGCTGGTTGCAGCAAATGAATTCAACTGTATTGCCTGTTGTGCCTACATTTTTTTCCAACCAGCCATTCGAGGCCTTGGTACGGCTCTGTGTGGCACAGTGCTGCATTGTGCAGCAGCTCGCATTGTGCCTATAATTTTTGGGGGGAGAGGGAGTAGACTTTAGAATCATTTAGATTCCTTTGATGGCCACATCAAATAGAAAAAAACTCTGGCCAGAGAGTATCAGATTACATTTTTCTGAAGTAGAACAATGGCCTACATTTAGCTGCTGCCCTCCAAGGCCGGTAGCTTAGAGTCTCCTTAAGCCAAAACTGGAGGGGAAAACCCATGATAGAACACGGTGTTTTACCAGCCACACCAGAACAGTATTGTAAACTAAGCTGTCAACACTCTTCAGCATATATATACATGTAGACTTTTCACTATGCAGCCATGTTTGAGGCATGTGCTTTTGTTCAGTAGGGACACTCATGAGTAGACCACACACACATTCATTGAATATGAATTAACATAACAAAACACACCCCAAAGATGGCAGCTGAATGCAATGAATCTATTGTCTACGGAGGGTTTAACTGTGTAGAAAAGCATGTAGCCAGTGAATGGCGATGTGCTTGAAGACGTACCGGGGGTAGATAAATAAAAATATACTATATATCTATAATGCATTCAACAATAGTGGTGATTCCCCCATCCATTTTTTGTTTCAGTTTTAATGCTTTATAAACAAGGGAAGGTTTTTTTTTTTAATGTTGCACACCTGAATTATACATATTTAAATGCTTTATAAAATCAAGCAGCAACAATACACAAAAATTGCCTTAAAACATCTGAAAAGTTTATTGCCTTGAACTTAAGGTTTCTAAAAATCTGAAGTCTTGAACAAAGGATATGACCATTATACTCTGTTACTGAACATCTATAATACAATTGAAACTGATGTTCTTGTCAAATATGTAAAATAGAATTTTTATATAGCTTTTTATATATAGTTTTCTCAGATGATTAACTATTTAGTACTGAAAGTAACCATTTACTTCATATTCATTTCTATTCAGCTAAAGTTGACTGAAATCTTTGTTTCCTATACTCGTAACTAAAAACATATGTACTAGTAAAATGTATAAAACTCATTAATGTAAAACGATTATTGAGAGACAATTGTCATGGAATAATGTAAATCATGACAAAATATTTTGAGAAAATGTAATTTTTTTAATGAAATTGTCGTGAAAATTACATGTTTCGCTTGAAATAAAGTTCAAACATTGCTGGTTGATTCAAACCTTTGCAGCATTCAGTTTTAATAAGATTTGAAAATTTGCATTGTGGTAGTGTATACTATCTGTTGTTTGTGGTAACACCGTGTGGAATAATCTCTTTTGAGAGGAAGTGTGGTTCTGAAAAGAACCAGTTCATCTTGAAACTGTTCGAGTTTCACAACCAACCGGTTCTTTTGAGAACCACATTTCTTCTCAAAAGATATTATTACACATGGTGTTACCGCAAACCTCACTATAGTAGAAGGTTCAGTAATATCTATATTTATTTCCAGAGGTTTTTGTGGCCAGTGAAAGGTTAGGAAAGCCATGGGTAATTTTTTCTAATCAAATTTCTGGCGTACAGAAAAACTTAAGTGATATATTTTCTGGAACTGGAACAAAGTCTTCCGAAAAAAATTGGTGGGACATTGGTGTTTTTGCCGGTACCAGAGGGGCAAATTTAGAGTCTTTGCACTCATAGACGTGAAAACATGACTGACTGGCTGACTGACTGGCTAACTGTCAATCGTGTGCTGGCACAGTGTAGACCAGATGCATGAACCAGGCGCGGTTCTGGGGGGGGGGGGGGGTAACAAAAACCAGCTCTGTCAAAAAACATGCAACCCCCCCCCCCCCCCCACACACACACGTTTGTTTCACATACGTAGTGTGGACTTTACTTTCTTTTCGTGTAGTTAAGGAACACCAGTGGAAAAAAACTCATTTTTCTCAAACTGTGAAAACTCTTTCAACCCAATTTTTTTTCTATGATTCCCTTTAGGGTTTCTCTTCATTCTGCTACAGATAAACCTGACCCAAAAATGCCTCTAAACCTGTTTTCCAGAAATGGGGAAACAAAGTGTGGACGTGGGCAAGTCCACACTTCGTCGCTGCTACCTACATTATGTGGACGTGTTTTGTTCGGAAGTCCACACTGCGTATGTAAGAAAAGCTCACTCTTACACCCCAAAATAATCATACTGTTAATAATGTCCCCCTGTGCACAAATGCAGAATGCTTCCATTTTTTTTTTAACATTAGCTTCACGAAAGGATAGGCCCTACATAAAATGAAGACAAAAGGAAAAAAGACGCCTTTTTACACAATCTTTATGACACTTGCCAAGATTTCCCGGTCAACAGGAGCCGGAAAATAACCCAAAGATGTGTCATTGCAACTTGAATTATTGAACCTGAAAAGAATCGAGGTCAGATATGTTAAGAGTACTGTTAAAACTAATAATGTAGTAACCATCGGATAACGTATCACCAACCGATAATGTCACACAAATTGACCGATATGGTATCACTAACCGATAATGTAACAAACATTGACTGATCGTATAGTAAATGTTACGATATATTTAGTCATTTTCTCCTTCACATGATCGGTTAGGGAACCGATGATGTTACAACAATTGACTGATGGTGTAGTCCATTTTACTACAATATCGGTCAATTTCTGTTAGGCTACATTATCGGTTAGTGATACAGTATCGGTCAATTTTCGTGACATTATCGGTTAGTGATAACTTAGTGATAACATTACCAGTTGTATCAAGTACTCATCGGCATGGGCGTCGCCAGGATTTTTTCTCTAGGGGGGGCAAAACAATTTTTTGCCAAAAAATGCTTGTATCTCTCAACACATTCTCGATTTATCAGTTTTAGAGGGTGGCAGGGACATTTTGCCCCCCCCCCAACTCATAACATTTACACCACTTTGTCTTCGCGCCTCTTTTTGTTTTGTTTTCTTTTTTTTTTCTCCTTTTTTTTTGTAGGGGGGGGGGGGTCAAGTGCCCCCCTTGCCCCTCTCGCGACGCCCATGCTCATCGGATAAGGAAAGTAACAACTAGAATATTTATGCAAATTGTCATGTTGAACTGCTTTTTTAAAACAGTAAAACTCCACTCATTTAAACTCCCGTTTAATTTCCCCCGCTTTTCACTTAAACGCAACTAGGCCTACTGACAATAACTCACAAAACCTACAAATTTTCTGCCACGTAGGCCTCATACTATTTTGGAATGCACGATTTTTCATGATTAATCCTCCCTCGCCGAGAATGAGATAGATAACAGTGTTACGCCTCTGTCTTGAATGCTGTATTGGCCTAGAACGATGACGCGTTAAGTTTATAAAAGTCGTGGCACACGGGAAGTTTGCTATGACTTTGTACGTACGGTGTTACATGAAAATCCGACTCCTATGAAAATCGGACCCCTTTTCCCTATTATTGGTTAATTCTTCTTATGTGACCGGTCACTCTCCTAATGATCATACTTACGCATGCGTGGTATTACCAATGAGTCTGAATTTCATAGAAACCTAAGTTCACGCTACACCGGTACGTACGGTGTGTGAAGCGCTTCTATCGATGGTACCCACGCTATTTTCATCATGTTTTCACACATGAGTGGGAGCAGCGAACTAGCAGACGATCAGCTGTTTCGAGCACGCGACATGCATGTGAGTTGTCGTTCGAATGTCATGATTGTTGTGTTTACTGTTGTTTGTTTTTCGTTGTTTTTACATCAAAGTCCAAAGAATCCAAGACAGAGTTATAACAAAACAATTGTTGACTGGTGTAATATGGGATATGACGTTTTGAACACACCTTCGGGGCGCATAGCACCCTCGGGTGTTCAAAACGTCATATCCCACATCGCAGGCAGTCAACAATTGTTAATGTAAGGATTTAGATTGGTTTCCAACGTGAGAGCCTATTTTTTCTTGATGGACTGGCCTTATTAGTTTCATGATCAGTCATATCAGTTCTAATTAATCTTGTAGATGATGGAAGTGTGAAAAACGCGTGAATACACCTCTCATTAACAACAAAGTTTTGGTGTGGTGTGGTTTGCACGAGCAGAGTTATTGAAGTTGTCCAGGTAACGGAAAGATATATAATATTAATAAGATGGCATTTTCCTTTGGGGTGATGTAAATTAACAGAGACCGTTAGCTCGGGATGGTCGAGTGGTAAGACAACTGCCCTAGAAAGCAAGTGGTCGTGGGTTCGAGTCCCACCCGAGTGATTTTTTTCCCCAGCTTTCACTCGGGAGGTAAGACACTGAGTATACAGTGTTTACGCGCCGGTGAAGGGCAAAACCTAATTTGATATGTAATATTCATCGATTTCACTTCAGGCCGTGCACTTGGTGGTGTGGGTTCTCCTGTCTACGAAAAGATAATTATTGTTCAGTAGCTACGTCGATTTCACCGGGTTTTTTTTTCAGAAAGGAAAAGGAAAGAAAAGAGATACGCTTTTGCGAATTCCTCATCGACTTGTTCCCCGGCCTCCCCCGTTGAACACGCGATGGCTGTTCGAGTTCATAGTGCCACTGACGTAAAACACCTTCGGCGATTTTAAACAGTCAAAAGAGTTAGAGACACTGATTTTGAAACGTATCAGTTATTACAGTGATGCTCTAAAGACAGGAATCAGCTTCAAGACGACCTTCGCTGTTAGTAGTAAAGCAGTGGGTACGAGGCTGCCGTTTGCAAACGGCCAGCAGATCTCTCTTGCATCGATAGTCATTCCACTTGTTGTCTGGTGACCATATGGCTGCACAGTGCTCCTTTCCGCCGCCATTATCGGGCTGATCGTCTATCCAGTTGGTGTAGATTCTTTCACCGTCTTGAGACCCTTCACACTCCCACTCGCCCTCCTGCCTGCGATCGGTGCAAGCCACCCAAATCTCACTGCCTTGGGTCAGGTTTGCCAGGAAGTCGTTTTCCTGGTCTGAGCGCGGCGCTGCCATCTTGGCTCCCAGTCTACGGCAGGCTTCACGGGCGTCGTCGTACGTCAGAGGCTTTTGGGTGATGAGGTAGCAAGATCCACCCCATTTCTTCCAGGGAGCAGTGCAAAGCCCATGGCGTCGGTTGCATGACGGGGACAGGTTTAAGCCACTACTTAGGAACAGTGCCAGTGAAACAAAGATGTAAACAAAACAAGACATTTTATATACTTCAGATGTGTTCATCATCAGTGTAGGTTGTGTATCTCAGGAACCATCACACACCATCCATCGACACAACCGTCAATTAATTATGAAAAACGAGACAAATTTTGATGAGGCGATTACCACACGGGTATGGGTTATTGATTGAGTCTGGAGTGATCTCGCATTAAGTCAATTATCCATTTATGGCAATTAAGGTTACCATAACAACTCAAGCCTGCGGTCTAGCAGAATAAACTGGCACGTGTTACACATTAAGTTAATGCCTGGTGAACACGAGGCCAATACCATTTCAAGTACTCGCGGACAGAAGTAAATATCAGGCTGTTCTTGGGTGACATTGGGAAGTACAATAAACCGCAAAGATGTTGAGCCTTTGAGAGTAGGCCTATAATAAGCATAAGATTTATGCCAATTGAGTTAAGCTTGTTCAATTTTCCGAAACTAATGATTTTGTTTTTGAAAATTCAATTGTATGTGCAATTACAATCATAAAACTGAAAAATAAGTAAATAAGAAGTTCAATATTTACAGGGAATATCCGTCTCGGGATATCCGTAGTGTATAACAAGTGTACTTCTCTTCAGTATACACTCCCTGTAGAACATATTAAAGCCCGTGGTTTAAATTATACAAACATTTACTGCCAATTTTTGACATAAAGAAGACACAATTTGCACAATATTTTGCAGAATTCCAACATTGCCTGTTTAATATCCTTGCGAATAACATCTAGAGTATACACTCAAAGAGAAAGAAATTTATGATCTTTTGATACTATTTTTGATTCTTGGCCTGATGATATCAACACCTTTAACATTTGATTGTAAAGAGAACATTAGCATTCGGGCTCAACTTTCATGACTTACGACCCTGGCCGGAATTTTGTCTTCTCAAGTTGTAGAACTTTATTATGAGCCACATTATGGTTGTACACCTTATGTGAAAGAACGCATATTCGAAATATCAGATACTTTTACCAATTAACCTGAATTTTACCCAAAGAATTCGATGAGCCCTATACTCCAAGAAAAGAAAATAATAACATCAAGAAAATCCGTGAAATCAATCCTTCTGGCAGAACGTCAATTAGAGCACAAAAATCAGAAGGTTATCTAAAGAATGGTACGTCAAGTGTCACATGAATGTTGCTGGGTCTATTTTCCTGCGGTGCAGTACCAATTTGATCAGTGCAAATGTTCCATCTTGAGCAGCAGTCCTAGTGAAGATGTCCACAGTCAAAACACGAACAACCGTTTTACATACTCTGAACAGACCATACATGATTAACACTCCCCATAAAATTGATCAAAATTATGAAGTCATTAAAATCCAAGTGACAATCGTTCCAAATGTCAATTTAGAGACAAAAGTCAACTTCAAGCCGCCCTTCGTTGTTGGTAGAGAAGCAGGATCCGAGCTGTCGCTTGCAGACCGCCCGTATCTCAATCTCACACCGTACGTTATTCCACTTCTTGTGTGATGGCCGTAAAAATACACAGTCTTCCCGCCCTCCTGTATTATTCGGCTCTCTCTTCCTCCAGTTGGAGGAAGGAGACCCCTCACACTCCCACTCGCCCTCCTGTCTGCGATCGGTGCAAACCACCCAAATCACACTGCCTTGGGCCAAGTCGTTTTCCTGGTCAGAGTGCGGCGCTGCCATCTTGGCTCCCAGTCTACGGCAGGCTTCACGGGCGTCGTCGTACGTCAGAGGCTTTTGGGTGATGATGTATCAAGATCCACCCCATTTCTTCCAAGGAGCAGTGCAAAGTCCTTGGCTCTGGCTGCATGTTGCAGAAAAGCTTAAGCTACCGCTAAGAATTGACAATGATATAAAGATGCCAACGTTTCCACAAGACATTGTGCCAGACTTGGTTCGTTTGAAATTACGAGCAGTGCACTTTCTCCGTGCTGCACCAAATGCATCAAGCAATGCCTAATACTTTTAATAGCAACTATTACTACTGCCATATTAGGCAAAAAAAAAAAAAAATCGGTCTCTGGTCAGACCGAAGTTCCGGAATTGACGCGGGGACGCGGCTTTTTTTTTTTTTTTCCTTCAAGCTTGGATTGTACAGACAAGGTCGGGTACTATTTTTCTTTTTTTGGTGTCCTAATGTACATTGGTGTCCTCCATAATTTGCCTTGGTGCTCTCGATCATTTGCCTTGGTGCAATTTGCCATTCCTTGGTGCTCTTTGATAAAAAAAAACTACAGCGGAACATTTTGTCGGAAACAAAGATTGACGCGCATGATTAAAATCGACGCGCGCGCTGACCAGAGACCGACTTATTTTTTTTTGGCCTTAATGGTATACAACAGGATTTTAACAAATTCAGCAATTAAGTGAGTGGTTGATGTAACCATGACAACACAGCACAACACAACGGTCATCGTTGACGAAGTGGAAAATAGGAGGGAAAATCATATTGCATACATAATAAAGTACGGGTCTTCATTTACACCGTGTTGTTACGTCAAGCCATTAACTGAAAAGACAATGTGCAATGTGCAGGTCTATACTGCCGTATTTTTTCTTTTTTCAAAATAACTCCATATTTGGCCCCTCTCGACCCCCGATCTGGCGCCGCCTCTTCCTGTAATCCTCTCCCAGGTCATAAAGCCTCGTTTGTTATTTTATTTCTAAGTCATCTTTGCAGACTGACACATATTTTAAAACATTTGGTGTCCTCGGCTTGACTCTTAGGGTGGGATAAGTTAATATCACAAAGAATAAGAAGCCGTCCAATGTGTTCACAGCTCACTTGATTTTTTTTATTCACGACTCAGCTCAGTGATCAATACGATGCATAATATATTCCACAATTTTCGTCCCGTGAGTTCTTCAACTATCAAAAAATAGAAGATTTCTATATCTTGTTATTTTAACACTATCAGGAACGGGGGGCAGAATGTTCCCATGTGAAACCTCTTATAGCTTCGGAACGCTTCTGCCGATCGACATAAAATTTGATGACTTTTCCTAACGTTTTAACAGGGGTCAATATGTTACAAAAAAAATCTGGTGGATGTCCATGGTTGCCTTGGCAAATAATTTGAAGTCATTGGTATTCATATGTTATGAAAAGGTAAAACACATGGAAATATGCATTTTGTTCTATTAAAAACATGTTGTCTTCATCCCGAACTGTAATGTATTTGCTTAAGATTTAATTTTATAGTCACGTGACAAACTGCAATGCATGCTGGGAATTCAATATGGCCCCATAGGCATGAAACGCTGCTTTTAATGTTCAACTTGTTAAGTACTTTATGACTGTCCTTGCTGAAAAGCATTCATAAAATTACCAAACGTACTTCAATTGGGCCCAAATTAGTTAAATTTGTTTTTAAATTGTTGGACAAAATTAGGTATTACGCCATCTAGTGGTGACTTGGATGCCAAAGGATAATTGTTTTGAATTATTAAACCCAAAATGTTCTTGTATTAATTTGAAGGAATTTAATAAAACATTTAGAAATGATGCATGTTTCAGCATTTTGTCCTTGTTACATCAAGCGTCTGTATGAACACAACACTTTCGACAGGTCATGGTAACAATATTTGCTAATGATAAAATACTAACCGCAAAATCCATCCATTTATGAAAATCACACCAAAAGCAAATGTTGTAGGCCCCAATATTATTTTAAGGCCAATTTACACATAAGCGACTTTATACAATTTTGACATTCAGAAACCCACAATATTTACAATGTTCCAACACTGCGTGTTTAATGTTATTATTATTAATATTTTCTATTTTATTTTATATCTTCGGACAATAATTAAAAATCTATTAAACGAAAAAGTAAAATTGTCCTGGTCTGGACAAAAGTTTGTAAAAAGTGTCATCAAAGATGTATCAGACCAAAAGAAAAAAGAAAAAAAAATGTTATACGGTATAAATAATGACTATGATCAATAAAAAAAATCCCATTAAAATACCCCACCCGGAAAAATATCGACAAACAAGCAAATTATAAACAAACAAACAAATACGCAAAAAGGGCAAGTATAAGCAGAACCCAGGAGAAAGAAAAATACGCAAAAGACTAAATACCCAATTAAATACTGGGGATGTAAAAAAAAACACACACAAAAAAATAAACAGTCAAAGAGCAAAACAGCCAAAATGCAACTACAGTTAAAACATGGGCATAATTTGATGGACAAGCAAAAACAAACCTAGGATAAAAATGCAAAATGCAATTCCCCCCCCCCCCCCAAGCTGGATAACGGCGAAAGAAGTTGTAGTCTGGATTAATATCTAGAGTATGCATGGAAACGCATGATCGTTTATACTACAATTTAATTGACCCTTGGCCTCATGATATCGACACCTTTAACATTCGATTTTAGAGAAAACATTAATATTCGGGCTCAACTTTCATGAGGTATGACTCAGGCTAGAATTGAAACTTTTAAGTATTAAGTTGGTTGCATAACCTTATTATGAGCCTCATTATGGTTATACATACTCCTTATGTAAAATGATTCAAATTAGAAATTTTCGATAATTTCACCAATTAATCTGAATCTTACCTAAAGACTATGAGCCCTACTCCAAGAAAAGAAAACAATCACACCTAAAAACTCCGTAAAATCAATTCTTCTGGTAGGACGTCAATTGGATTAAAATAAAACATTAGAATGTATTTAAAGAATAGAATGGTACATCAAGTGTCACATGAATGTTGCTGGGTCTACTTTCCTGCGTTGCAGTACCAATTTGATCAGTGCAAATGTTCCATCTTGAGCAGCAGTCCTAGTAAAGAGTTCAACAGCCAAAACACGAGAAGTCTCAGTTTTACATGCTCTGAAGTTCACTACATGACCAAAAATACACATCAACTCAATTAAAATGATCTGAAGTCAATAAAATCCGCTTGAAAACCGTCACATATATCACTTTAGAGACAAGAGTCAACTTCAAGCCGCCCTTCGTTGTTGGTAGCGAAGCAGGATCCAATAGAATGTCGCTTGCAGACAGCCAGGAGCATACGCTCACAGGGCGTGTCATTCCACTTCTTGTCCACTGACCTTATTTTAATACAGTCCTCCCGCCTTCCGTAGTTATTCGGCTCTCCCATCCTCCAGTTGGTGTAGATTTCTTGACCGTCTTGAGATCCTTCACACTCCCACTCACCCTCCTGCCTGCGATCGGTGCAAGCCACCCAAATCTCACTGCCTTGGGCCAAGCTTGCAAGGAAGTCGTTTTCCTGGTCTGAGCGCGGCGCTGCCATCTTGGCTCCCAGTCTACGGCAGGCTTCACGGGCGTCGTCGTACGTCAGAGGCTTTGGGGGTGATGAGGTAGCAGGATCCACCCCAATTCTTCCAGGGAGCAGTGCAAAGCCCATGGCGTCGGTTACATGATGGAGACAAGCTCAAGCTACCGTTTAGGATTGCCAATGATATTAAGAAGCCAACTTTTCCACAAGACATTGTGTCCGATCTTGTTCACATGAAAATTATGAGCAGTGCACTTTCTCCGTGCTACACCGAACGCATCAGGCAAGTCTAATACTTTTTATAGCAATTATTACTACTGCCATGACCTATAGCAGGATTTCACCTATTCAGTAATTTCAGTGAGTGGTTATGTAACCATGACAACACAGCACAACACAGCACAACACTTTCATTAACTAAGTAGAAAATAGGAAAGAAACTCTTATGGGTAATTTCTGAAGCTATATCAAGCTATGTCTGGCTGAAAAGAGAATATGCGAAGTTTAGGTCCATTACTTCTGTATTTTTTTTCTCAAAAATTCCGTATTTTGCCATCCTCGGGCATGAAATACGGTCAAAATCAAATTAGGTTTTTGCCCTTCACCGACGTATAAACAGTAATAATAATAATAATAATATAGTACAAAATAGTACAGCGCCATCTTGTGGTCACTTACCACGACCAAACCTATCGATTACCGGTCATCCAACATTTTTGCCAAATGCAGTAAAATCGATTTTTTTTTTTCGAAGAAGGGCAAAACCTAATTTGATTTACATCACCCCGACGCAAATTCCATCTTATAATAAAATCGGCTCAAGCATGTGAAAAGTAGGATTGGAGGCGCCAATTTTCTTCCCAGCAAAGGTGCATGGCGCAACAGCATTTTCCCCCGGTTGATCACGTTATGAAATGTGTCCATCACTGTCAGGGCGAAGTCCTATTTCATGTCAAATTATGGGCATAATGCAGCTTCCTCCGTGCTGCACAACTTAATTTGCAAGGTGTAATTTTCTACATAGCATGGTCGAGTACTGAGACAAGTGGCAGGTTCCAGAACTGTCAGGACTGCACTGAAAATTTCCTGCGTTAATTTTACCAAAGAAAGGGTGTAAACTAAAGTTGGTCTTGAATGACCACAAGTTTTGGTTGAATTTAGCAGAAATTCTAACCCCCAAAATTGGTTATAGAACAACCCAAGTTTGGGTAGTTCCAGTTTTCACCCTTTCTTTGGTAACCAGGCAATTTTTCAGTGTGGAAGATAGTTTGGGCTGAGGATGAGAGTCCTGCAATATTCCCATCAGTAATAGTGGTAACTGCAAAACGTAAAATGTCTCTATATACTCCACTTCCTAGAATAGGTGTGTGGTGTTATAGAACTGACAGTCACAGCAGAAGAAAACTTTGCAAACGGACTAACAAAAGAAAGAAGTGTAAATGCACTGATCTCATGCGAGAATGCTAAGAAGCAGGATGGGAAGTGAAGTACTTTCCAGTGGATGAAGATTTATTTTAGATAAATATGCATTATGCTAAACCTTTATTAATTGACTTTTTGTTCCCTTAAAAGGTACAGATTATACCCACGATAATCCGTTTAATCGACATGATATATAAATAGATTCTTAACGTTAAAAAAATCAACAGGACGCAATAAATTTGGGGAAGGCGAAAATAATGTCTTTAATCGTTGAAACCCATTGAGTGCCCCTTTCTAAATATGAGCTCCCGACGAGTGCACCAACTGCAACCTAATTGAACCCCAATCATGCCACTAGATGTATGACATTGTCTGCTTATTTTGCTAATTACATCTTCTAATCAAACGTCGGAACATCAAGGTCGTGCCTTTAAAAACAAAACGTATTTTCATTATTATCGCAGTTATATGTAGCTCCGACTAATAATTGCACGGTTGTTTAATTGGTCACGGTAAACTGCTCACGACTGGTGGCATTTATACTAATTGGAGATGATGGCCTTGCGGTTATACGAATCGCACCAAGGCTTAAGTGAAGCAGACTGCAGATAGTGAAGACAAAAGTAGTTGCGTACTGCTCACTTTTGAGGTAACACTGCAAGTTTGAGGAAAAAAATGTCTCTTTTTGTCATAATCATAATATGTGCAATCCTTCAAGTGCCTCTAAGCCTGTCGAAGTCATGCGTTGCGCGCAATGGGCTTTGTCCTGCGTCTTGGACAAAGTGGGATGAAAGTTGCTACCGCGTTACACCCAACTCGTTGACGTACGACGACGCCCGTGAAGCCTGCCGTAGACTGGGAGCCAAGATGGCAGCGCCGCACTCTGACCAGGAAAACGACTTCCTGGCAAGCCTGGCCCAAGGCAGTGAGATTTGGGTGGCTTGCACCGATCGGAGGCAGGAGGGTGAGTGGGAGTGTGAGGGGTCTAAAGACGGTCAAGGAATCTACACCAACTGGTTTGACGATCAGCCCGATAATTCCGGCGGAAATGAGCACTGCGCAACCATATTGTCAGCAGAGAAGAAATGGAATGACTATCCGTGCAATGGCGAGCAGCTGGCCGTTTGCAAACAGGAACCTCGTACCCATTGCTTCACTACTAACAGCGAAGGACGTCTTGAAGATGATTCTTGTCTCTAGAGCTTGTTATGAGATCTGAATGTGTGGGGTCTCAAAGAGGGCAAAGAAATATACAGCAAATGGAGGGACAGAGAACCGAATAATGGAGGATTGGGGGAACATTTTGCTACATACCGGCAGGCAAAAAGTGGAATGACGTACGGTGTGAGGTGAAGCTGCTGACGGTCTGCAAGCGACAAACTCTCGGATCCTGCTTCACTACCAACAACGAAGGGTGGATCGAAGTTGACTCTTACCTCTTAAAACCACATTTTGAATGATTAACCGTGGATTTTAAGAACTTCAAATCATTTTGAACAATTGTAGTGGTAATTTGTATACCGTCATCATGCAGATTGTTTTTGTTTCTGACTGTTTGAATCTTCACGCAGGACTGCTCCTTTGGCATGACCATTTGCATTAATGATGAAATTGGAACGTACTGCAGAACAGTCAAGCAAGTATGACACTTACCATTCGTCAGATAACTTTCTCAATATTTTAGTCTAAATGAACTCCTACCAAAAGGAGGGATTTCGGAAGGCTTTTTGTACCGTTATCTTCTTTTCATTTCTTGCTGTAGCTATTGTCATTGGTTGGTAAGTTTCTGGAGAATTGACGATGTTCTTAAACCTACGAAGTCTCCATGCTATAGCTTCATTCACAAGTTGTGAAATTAATTCACATTTCGATGTATTCCTTCTGACAAACCAGACAAAAAAGCACTGTTAAGATAATTTTTTTAAGAGTCGTTTTCATTTATCGCGCCATTCACCAGTTTGTACCAAGCGATTACGCGTCCCTATCTCTTTGGGTAATTGATGATTGGTAAATCCTACTCTCAATCGTGACTGCAATTCAGTGAGGAATTCAGCAACCATTGAGAACATGTAGGTCTTCGTTTTGCTTTCAATTGGCAATAAATGTTGATAAAAGATGAGCACTTAACTATAGACTTTTGCTCTGAAAGGCACACAAGTGAAACACTATGATGGAATAGACTTCTTTTTTTGTAAATATTGAACTCCGTAGCTGAATTTTTCAAGTTTTATTATTGTAATTGTAAACAGTGTTGTATTGACCTTTTGAAAGAATTAGCTTTGGAGAATCGTTGTACTATAGCCTAATAAACCTTTACTCGGCATACATTGGTATCCTTAATCTTCAACAGCTTTGTGATGTGTTTGACTTCTTACTGGTCCGATAATTTTCCTGTCGTCTACGAACACTTGAAAAATTGGCCTCGTTTAAACCAAAGATTATGTTAATGTGTTATTTCATTGTATTACATGCTTGAGTTGTTACGGTAACCACGCCATGAATGGATAATTGACTTGATGTAAGCTCACTTGAGACTCATTCAATAACGCATACCTTTGTAGTAGTCATTTCATCTAATTTGTCTCATTTGTCATAATGCTGATTGTGTCGCTGGCTGGTGCCTTGTAGCGCTCAAAAGGCAGACAACCTACACAGATGAATAATACGTCCGAAGTTCTCAAAATGTATCGTTTCGTTTGCATCGTCATTGCATCATTGGCAATGCTTCTTAGTGGAAACTTCAGCCCATCTGCGTCATGCAACCGACACCATGGGCTTTGCACTGCTCCCTGGAAGAAATGTGGTGGATCTTGCTACCTCATCACCCAAAAGCTTCTGACGTACGACGACGCCCGTGAAGCCTGCCGTAGACTGGGAGCCAAGATGGCAGCGCCGCGCTCAGACCAGGACTGCATATTTAGGACTGCGTTATCACAAAGGGTGTTCAACACGAAATGCATGAATGACTCGAAATAGCTCTAACATTAAATCCACATTTAATCACGTGATCAACTAGGTAAAATGCTCTAGTACTATGTACCTTTGCTGTGAGTCGTCTGTGGTTCTGAGAGGAAACGGTCAGCGGCATTCTTCACAGTTGGATCTGTTCGTCATCAGGATACTTAACTTTGCAGCACTGTCTTTAATTTGGATTAACATACAAAGTGTGAAGGGGATGTGACTTTTACCGGCCTCAATGACTGTGTACTTGTTCAAACCTCTCCATCCCTTCTACGCATGTGCATTGTAAGTTGAACTTACATTTATTTCAACATCCGCGCCAAAATCTCCGATTTTATTTGTTTTTAATGACAATCAACAAAAGCCGGCTAACAATTTTGTCTTTTCTCGCATCAATGAAAGTAGAGGAACTTGTATGAGGAGACCAACGTTTTGGTCCGAGCGGCCTTGCCATATTCTTGACCCAGGCTGTCTTATATTACAAAGACTATTTAAACGCAAACACATTTACTGAAACTCATGGGCTTGTGTCTATTAGGCCAAAAAAAAAAAAAATAAGTCGGTCTCTGGTCAGCGCGCGCGTCGATTTTAATCATGCGCGTCGATCTTTTTTTTCTCCAAAATTTTCTGCGGTAGCTCCAACAGCGCCCTCTATTTCTGCACCTCTTCAATTTTTTTTTACCAAAGAGCACCAAGGAATGGGGAAATTGCACCAAGGCAAATGATCGAAAGCACCAATGCAAATTATGGAGGACACCAATGTACATAAGGACACCAACAAAGCAAAATAGTACCCACGTTGTCTGTACAATCCAAGCTTGAAAAAAAAAAAGCAAAAAAAAAAGTCGCGCGGCCGCTTCAATTCCGGAACTTTGGTCTGACCAGAGACCGTATATTGCACTTTTTGGCCTTAAAGTGCTTATTTTGAAGCGCATTAAAATTTACTTTATAATAGATCCTTAAAGTTGGTTTGTTTGATAATGGTACAATAAAAAACAAAGCCAAAGTAATATTTATGAATATATTAAAATATAATGTAATAGATCGTGAAATTGGTTTGTTAAATTATGGTACAACAAAAGCAAGCGAAAGTAATATATAAATTATATAAATATATTACTATACAATGTTTTGGTATAAACGTATATGGAAATCGATAATATATCCAAAATCCATATCACATTGGAAATTTAAAAAGTATACGAGTTTACATTTTTAAATTAAAAGTAATTATTAAGTCTAAGTAAGACATACCTTTGTGATTTGCCGTGCCAAAAGGACTTCAAACCACAGTATTTTACCCAAATACATATGAAGAGCATAGGCAACTTGCTCGCTAGTAATACATTTGAAAGAGTTAGTGTGCAGGGGCGGATCCAGGAATTTTCGCAGGCTGGGGTTTGTATAGGCAAAAAAACCCACTGAAATGTAGACACAGTTTTTTTCTCAGGACACCCAGCTTGTTCCATACTTTCAATGAGGGCGGTGTTCAAATGCGACGATTATTAACACTATATCACAAAATAATATACACGTACCCCCTAACCAAGCTGTCTCTGTACGTATTTTGTGCAAGGCGGACATTATTACTAGCAAAACCCAATTTTGTGTCGGAGCAGGGGGGGGGGGAGGTTCGCATTTTTTCATGAATTTCTATGCCAGAAAAAACATGTTGACAGAGCTGGAAGGTTTCGCCCCCCCCCGGATCCGCGCCTGGTGTGAACCGATTCCCGGTCACACTCGTCCACAGGGCCCATTTCATTTCCAATAGCAGCCCCTCGGTGGGATCCTGATCCGACACCAAAATGGTAATTAATGGATTGATATCCGATACTTGGTGATTACAATTCTTACATATATATACGTGTTTTAACCTTGACTGTGAATTATTTCGTCCACTCAGCGGCGTAACAACAGGGGGTACGGGGAGAGATTGGATGTGTTTTTGTTTTAACACTCAGAAAAGTTATCATGTGGGGGGAGGGGGCATAAACAGATCCACTTTGGGAGAAGATGGCTCCTGGTCGGTACATTATTGATACTGATTATGGAGCAGGAACCAGCCTATCCCGTGAGATCAGAATTATTAACTTGAAGCCAATAATTCGAAATTTATAATAGTAATTCGAAAACCTTTTTTTTTCAGTCGATGTCTCATACAAAAGTGATTAACTTTTGTATTTATTTATTAGAAAAAACAGCAATTTAGAAAAGGAATCTATTTTCGGGATGAAAGTCGAAAATAGCGTGGGGAACTATTATAAAGGATTGTAAACTGAAGCAAAAAAATATAGTAATAACTTGTATATTCATCGTATAATTGTATACATTTTAGTCAAATATCGCCTCATGTCAGAACACTTAAATGTGTACTTTAATAAATGCAGTACTACCATTCCCCATTTTCCAATGTGGCAACGATGACGGTTTTGTTGTGCTGTGTTGGCATGGTTACGTGTACCTCTCACTGAAATGTTGAATAGATTGCAATCAGATATTATTGACTCGATGAAGGTGATGATATAAATAGCCTTTTCTAGTGTTGGCATTTGCGCGTTGAATGAAGTGTAGCAAGGAGAAAGCTGCACTGGTCATAATTTTAAGGTGAACCAAGTTTGTCAAAATGTCGTGTGGAAAAGTTGGCATCTTGGTATCAATGACGCTCCTTCTTAGTGGTAGCTTGAGCTTGTCTCCATCCTGCAATCGACGTCATGGGCTTTGCACTGCTCCCTGGAAGAAATGGGGTGGATCTTGCTACCTTATCACCCAAAAGCCTCTGACGTACGACGACGCCCGTGAAGCCTGCCGTAGACTGGGAGCCAATATGGCAGCGCCGCACTCTGACCAGGAAAACAACTTCCTGGCAAGCCTGGCCCAAGGCAGTGATATTTGGGTGGCTTGCACCGATCGCAGGCAGGAGGGTGAGTGGGAGTGTGACGGGTCTCAAGACGGTCAAGGAATCTATACCAATTGGTGGGTTGCCCGCGGTCAGCCCGATAATATCGGCGGAAATGAGCACTGTGCAACCATATGGTCACCAGACAAGAAATGGAATGACTATCGGTGCAATGGCGAGCAGCTGGCCGTTTGCAAACAGCAACCTCTTACCCATTGCTTCATTACTAACAGCGACGGGCGTCTTGAAGCGGATTCTTGTCTCTAGAGCTTGTAATGAGATCTGAGTGTGAGGGGTCTCAAAGAGGCCAAGAAATCTACTGCAAACGGAAGGACAGAGAATCGAATAATGGAGGAGTGCTACATACCGGCAGGCAAAAAGTGGAATGACGTACGGTGTGAGGTGAAGCTAATGGCGGTCTGCAAGCGACAACCTATTGTATCCTGCTTCACTTCCAACAACGAATGGCGGCTTGAAGTTGACTCTTGTCTCTAAAGCTACATTTTGAATGATTAACCGTGGATTTTAAAAACTTCAAATCATTTTGAACTATTGTATTGGTAATTTGTATACCGTCATCATGCAGATTGTTTTTGTTTTTGACTGTTGGAATCTTCACGTAGGAATGCTGCTCTAGCAGGACTTTTTGCATTGATGATGAAATTGGAAAGAAATGCAGAACAGTCATACAAGTAACACGTATATGACAATTACCATTCGTCAGATTACTTTCTTATTTTTGGGTATAAATGAGGTCTTACCAGAAGGAATGATTTCGGAAGGGGTTTTGACCTTTCTTCTAGTAAGGATGTGCTTTGGTCGGTAAGTTTCAGAACTATTGACGATCTATAGACCTTTGAATTATCAAACTTATCATTATCCTCGTCCTCACACAAATAGAGTACAACCTTTTTTAGGTTAATGTCTCCAAGTCTCTTTTTATTTATGTCATGAAATTTAGTAAAAGTCAAATAGTTTCCTTCTGACCATTCTGAAAAGAGACGCACTGATTCAAGCCATATATGATTATTTACTTGTCATGCATTTTTTCGTTTCCGATAATAACACCACTCAAAATCCAAAGAAAAATGTTCAAAACCTAACCGGTTAAAGTTTCAGGTCAGTGGATATAACATTTGTTGAGATAAAAAGGAAAAAAAAAAAAAAAAAAAAAATGCTTAACCTTTTGATAACGTGTCACACGATTTCGCCTATAGCAGTCGATTGACTGATAGTTGGAAATCACCTGTATTTTTGATTTCTGACGGTAAGTCAGACGGAATAATTTCACGGGGTGTATAGAACCACTGCGATCTTTAATCCAAGTGAGCTTTT